TGGATGACTTAGATGCTCTTTAGATTTTCTCTTTTCTCTAGATGACTAAGTTTTTGATTAGCAGCTTGGTGCCAATATTAAAAGATATTTAATATTATCTGGTGGAAGCAGAGGAGTCAGTATTTTTTAAATGAGAAAATGTGTACTAAGCTTTTGACCCATTTGATCAAGATGAGAGTAGTGGGAAAAGGTCCTCAGCCTCCTCGTTTTTTCTTACAGGAAATGGTTAAATGCTCTAGGTGACTGATACTCATCTTTGAGAATTTTGTTTACTGTGACACCGTCAATTTAAAATGGAGAGCTTCCTTTTCTCACTTAAAAAAGGAGCCTTCCTTTTCTCTTTCCCTATCTCTTTTTTTCTCTTTTGTGTGTTTGCAGAGGTAGGGCTTGCAACCAGGCTGGACTTGAACTCATGGTCCTCCTGCCCTAGCTTTGAAATATTATGGGCTGTACCCTTATATCTGGCAAGTTTTGTGGAAGCATGTTTCCACACCCAAGGTTTTAATGGGCATATGATGGCAGCCGCCAAGGAAACAATGTGGGAAGGATGATATAAGCTGAATAAAATGTGGCTTTACGTTTACAGTCTCCATACATGCTCCCCCACCCAAACCTCACATACTGAAGGCTGTAGATGCTGCCTTTGGCATTTGACCTTTTTTGCCAATCTTACTTGTGAGGCACTAGTTGCAACATTAGATCTTCATCCTGTGGTTCTAGAATATTGTCTATCGGCATATTAGATGATATGATTCCACGCATTTGTGGTTTCTCGTTGATTATACAGTTGACTTAAGTCAATATCTTTGTTGATAATAAACAGAACCCACTGTAGCTAATTTCTGCCAAGGAGGGAATTTGTTTTGAAGATACAGGTGTGAATTATGGCCTTGTGGGTCAAAGGTGTGCTTGGATTTCACAGAAGCCTGAAAAGCCTTGGGAGTTCAGGCCATTAATGTGTGTCAGAAAGCCTTGCTTTTATCTCTTTTTACCCTTTTTATGTGTCCCAGTTCTCTACAGAACTACTTTCTTTGCTTCTCCATGTTTGTGGTCTGATTTCCACGTCTATATTTTAAGCAGCTTAATTAGCATCTCTGAGCTCTTCAGCCAAATTAATTCAGAGATTATTATGAAACAACTGTCCTTGTTAGTTTCTCTTCCAGTGAACTGGAGTAGAAGAACTTGTTCAATATAGGAGGTCTAGGTTATAGTGATCTGAAATTGGGGTTGGATAGAAACCTAAAATATACCTTTGGGGTTTTGTTTTGTTTTGTTTTCTGAAATACAGGATGTGGTGGCACTTGCCTGTAACCCCAGCATTAGGGAGGCTGAGGCAGTTGCCGGGTTGAGGCTTACCTGGACTAAATAGGGAGACTCATCTTTAAACAAAACAAAACATCAAAATAATACAACAGGCTGATACGATACAGCAGCAGGCAAGTCTTCTCCAAGCTAGCTACAGTATTTGGACTGCACAAAGCACTAGTCAAGACGATTGCTGTAGTCCTTTAACAACTGAATAGCATTGCTTTCTGAATTTTCAGTGGAAGATGATAGAACCTGTCAAATATAATTGTGCTTTCATTTAACTTTTTTACGTAAGACAGATAATAAAACCTCTTAGAATTTCTGAATTTTCCAAACACTCGTAGTATGTACATGAGTACTTAGTCTTGCTAACCTAGAACAGTGCATCTGATCAGCAGGGGTACTTTTTGCAAAACCAGAAGACTTACAAGTATAAGCCACCAAGATCTGAGATCACAGTTCAAGGCCAGCCTGGGCAGGAAAATTCAATAAACTACCAAAAAAGCTGAAAGTAGAGCTGTGGCTCAGTGGTAGAGTGCTAGCCTTGATCAAAAAGAAATTCAGGGGGGCTGGGAAGATGGCTCAGTGGTAGAGTGCTTGCCTTGCATGCATGAGGCTCTGGGTTCGATTCTTCAGCACCACATAAGCAGAAAAAGCCGGAAGTGGTGCTGTGGCTCAAGTGGTAGAGGGCTAACCTTGAGCTGAAGAGCTGAGGGACAGCGCCCAGGCCCAGAGTTCAGGCCCACAACTGACAAAAAAAAAAAGAAATTCAGAGACAGCTCCCCAACCTTGAGTTCAAATCCCAGGATGGAAATACACACACACACACACACACAGAAGACTAGGCTGCATCAGTTGTTTTGTGTGGGGACTGTGAGGGTCTGAGTGGGCAGTGAGCTCCCAGGATGACTTAACATGCCCCAGGTTAAGAAGACCTGCCCCAGAATGACTTGATTTATTCACATCTCCCTGGACAGAAATCACCATCAAATTAGACCATATTCAAAGTGGAGTCTCTGGGAAAACTGTTGCAATCTAAGCAGCCTTGAGATGGGTGTAAATTCTAATACCATAGTGTAGTCTCTGTCAACAAATTCAGAAAATATGTTATTTACTATAGCCTTTTATGAAAGTTAAATATGTGTAGTTTTGTTGACAAAGTGTGCTTTAAGAATTTCTTAGATTGGGGCTGGGAAGGTGGCTCTGTGGTAGAGCGCTTGCCTTGCATGCCTGAGGCCCTGGGTTCAATTCCTCAGCTCCACATAAGCAAAAAGAAAAAAGCCGGAAGTGGCGCTGTGGCTCAAGTGGTAAAGCACTAGCCTTGAGCTGAAGAGCTAAGGGACAGAGCCCAGGCCCAGAGTTCAGGCCCCACGACCGGACCCCCCCTCCCCCCCCCCCCCAAAAAAAAAAGAATTTCTTAGATTTTTTTGGTACCACTCCTTGGGCTTCAACTCCAGGCCTGAGCACTGTGCCTGAGCCTTTGTGCTAAAGGTTAGTGCTTTTCCACTTGAGCCACAGCTCCGCTTCTCTGGCTTTTTGGTGGTTAACTGGAAATTAGAGTCTCAGGGACTTTCCTGCTTGGAGCTGGATTTAACCTGTAATTCTCTGATCTCAGCTTTTTGAGTAACGAGGATTACAGGCATGAGCCACTAGTATCTGGTCTCTAGTCAAGTCTGGACTGTATCCTTGTGGCACATAGTAATTAATGTATTTCTCTGTCCCTGTGTTTCTTCTTTTTGTTTGTTTGTTTGTTTTTGAAACAGGTTCTCAGTATGTTTCTCAAACTGGCCTTGGGGGCTGGGAAGGTGGCTCAGTGGCAGAGCACTTGCCTTGCATGCCTGAGGCCCTGGGTTCGATTCCTCAGCACCACATAAGCAAAAAGAAAAAGCTGGAAGTGGCGCTGTGGCTCAAGTGGTAGAGCGCTAGCCTTGAGCTGAAGAATTGAGGGACAGCGGCCCAGGCCCAGAGTTCAGGTCCCACAACCGGAAAAAAAAAACAAAAAAACCAAACTGGCCTTGAACTCATGACTTTTCCTGCTTCCCAAGTGGTGGGATTATAGGAATATGCAACCACTCCTGGTTTCTAGAGTTTCAGGATAGATTGCCACAGAAGCTCAAACATTTTGAGGTTAACATACTAAGGTTGGATTAGATATTTTGGCAAGAATGCTTCTGAGATGGTGTGGTAGACTTCATTAGGAGGCTTGCCATATCTTCTTCTTATGATAGTTTTGCAAGCATCATTTTAAAAATTGGCTAAATATCTTTTTTTATTTTTTGTGCCAGTACTGGGGCTTGAACTCAGGGTCTGAGCTCTCTGTCTCTTAGCTTTTTTGCTTGAGGCTAGCAGTCTATGACTTGTGTCACAGCTCCACTTTGAACATTTTTGGTGGTTAAGAGTCTCATGGAGTTTCCTGCCCAAGGTGGCTTCAACTTTGATCCTCAGATTTCAGCTTCCTGAGTAACTGGGATTATAAGCATGAGCTTCAGCTTCTAGCCTGCTAATTATCTTTAAATATATAGTAAATGTTGAACCTGAAGTAGAAGACATAGTTTATTTAGAAATTGTGATACTTAGCTAAGCATCAATTCCCCAATAGAAGTGATTGTACCTTGGTACTGTCTCATGATCTTAGGTAATATAGAAAGGGGAATGAAGGGGCTGGGAAGATGGCTCAGTGGTAGAGCGCTTGCCTTGCATGCATGAGGCCCTGGGTTTGATTCCTCAGCACCACATAAGCAGGGGAAAAAAAAGCCGGAAGTGGCACTGTAGCTCAAGTGGTAGAACGCTAGCCTTGAGCTGAAGAGCTGAGGGACAGAGCCCAGACCCAGAGTTCAGGCCCCACAACCGGACCCAAAAAAAAAAAAAAGAAAGGGGAATGAATGTCTCAGCTATCTTTACTGAGCCCTAGTGGGTTATTAGAGCAGTGAATCTGCACTAACTAGAAACATTCCTTGTTTCTGTCCATTTTCTCCCTCCCCCCTCCTTTTTTTTTGTCATCCTGGGGTGGAACTTGGGGCCTGGGTGCTGGGATCCTTTTGCTTAAGGGTAGCACTCTACCACTTGAGCCATAGCACCACTTTTGGCTTTTTCTGTGATTAATTGGGCATAAGAGTTTCGCAGACTTTCCTGTTCTGGCTGGCTTTGAAACAGGATCCTCAGATATCAGCCTCCTGAGTAGCTAGGATTATAGGCATGAGCCACCAGCACCAGCAAAAAAATGTTTTAAAAAATAGCTTGTAAAGGGCTGGGAAGATGGCTCCAGTGGTAGAGTGCTTGCCTTGTATGCATGAGGCCCTGGGTTCAATTCCTCAGCACCACATAAACAGAAAAAACTGGAAGTGTCACTGTGGCTCAAGTGGTACAGCACTAGCCTTGAGCTGAAGAGCTAAGGGACAGTGCCCAGGCTTAGAGTTCAGGCCCCACAACTGACCTCCCCCCCAAAAAATAGCTTGTAAAAAGAAAAAGTAGCTTATTAGGGCTAGTAGAATGACTCAAAAGGTAGATTGCTTGTCTAGTCTGTGAGAGGCCTGGGTTCAGTTCCTACCCTCTGCAAAAAAGAAAAACTATCTTCCTAAAATCTCAGAGGTCATGAGATGAAGGCTTAGTGTATTCTGAAAATAACATTTATGTTATTTTGAGCCTTGAAACAAAGAAAAATATGACCTTTGCTCTTCTTTTTTTTTCTAAAGGAAATTCACACAAACGAAAAGGAAGTAACAGAGAAGGAAGCAACTCTTCACTTGTTGCCAGGTAACAGTCATGTTGGTATAGTTCCTTATATGCAACTCAAAGCCAGTGAAAAATTACATCATCCTTAGTATCACTATACATAAATGCTTTTGTTTTCATCCTCTGGCATATAATAGTAACAAATTGGACAAAGACATCAAGGTCTTTACATCAATAACTATACTTGGTTCTAAGTATTACAACATCTAGAAATAATTTATTTTTATTTATTAATATTATTTGTTTATTTTATTTTTGCTGGTCCTGGAGCTTGAACTCAGGGCCTGGGTGTTGTCCTACCCAGTGGCTCTACCACTTGAGCCATAGTGCCATCTTTGTTTTTTTCTGAGTGGTTTACTGGAGGTAACAGTCTCATGGACTTTTCTGTGCGGGCTGGCTTTGAATCACAATCCTCAGATCTCAGCCCCCTTAGTAGCTAGGGTAACAGGCATGAGCCACCAACATCCAGCTGGAAATTTTTTTTTTTTTTTTGGGTCCAGTCGTGGGGCCTGAACTCTGGGCCTGGGCACTGTCCCTCAGCTCTTCAGCTCAAGGCTAGCGCTCTACCACTTGAGCCACAACGCCACTTCTGGCTTTTTTCTTTTTGCTTATGTGGTGCTGAGGAATCGAACCCAGGGCCTCATTCATGCAAGGCAAGCACTCTACACTGAGCCACCTTCCCAGCCCTGGAAAAAATTTCTTTTCCTCTTTTTTTTCCCTGACCCAATAAAAATGAACCTGGAAAATGCTTGCCTCAGACAAGCAAATGAGACCTTTTTTCACTTTTTTCTACTAGGACGATAGTATTTCTAGTTTCCATTTAGGAAAAGCTTAAGTTTCCTGAAGAGTTCTCTAAACCCCATACATTCTCCCTCTGCCCAAGTTTAAAATTGCCCTTGAACAGCACAGTTGATGGGTGACCTCATCTGCCCGTCTACTGGTGTATCTAGTAGCAGTACTGGCAATATTGGGGCTTATCAGCCCTGGGGCAACCAGAGCTTTGCTCTGTAGTCATTTTTATTATGGAGGGGTTTGGATTGATTATTTTTATAGCTTAAATTTTAATCACTTCTAGATTTAGGAACAGAAACTATTTGATGGCATATCTTCCCCATATGTGGAAAATCTTACAGTATACTCTTTTTCTATTTTTCACCCCAATTCAGAATATCTTTTCCTCCCCACAAGTTGTTTTTTTTTGTTTTTTTGTTTGTTTGTTTTGTGCCAGTCCTGGGGCTTGAACTCAGGACTTGGGTACTGACCTTGAACTTTTGTGCTCAAAGCTAGTACTATACCACTTGAGCCACAGCTCCACTTTTGGCTTTTTTGGTGGTTAATTGGTGATAAGAATCTCATGGACTTTCCTGCCTAGGCTGGCTTCAAACCACAGTACTTAGATCTTAGCCTCTTATAGGTATTAGCCACAAGTCCCCAACTTCATAAGTTTTTACGTATGTTTTCCTCAAACAATAGAGGTCTCCTCAGGTGGTTAAGGTGGCATGAATAAATAGATGTTTCCAATTGATCAACCCGTTGGTAAAACACCTTGAAATTCTGAAACTTTTTTTAAACTATTTTTAGTTTCAAAGACTTTTTTTATGTTGTAATGATCTAAACCTTGTGTTATCTTTCCTGGTTTTTTTGTCACCGTGGGGCTTGGACTCAGGGCCTGGGCACTGTCCCTGAGCTTTTTATGCTAAAGGCTAGCACTCTACCACTTGAGCCACAGCCCCACTTCTGGCTTTTTCTGTTTATGTGGTACAGAGGAATAGAACCCAGGGCTTCACTCATTCTAGGCAAGTACTCTCTCACTAAGCCACATTCCCAGCCCTCTTTCTTGTTGTTTTTTTTTTTTTTCTCCCTGCTTTTAGGATTAGAGATTCTGAAATTTGTTTTTTATTTTTAATTTGGAGTTATATATATTTTATGATCTTCTGGATTACCTGATGGTCTTTTCTAGGTCTACAGATGTGAGTTCACAGTTAATTTCTGTCAGTGTCAGCCTGTACTAAGCCCTTCGCAACTCCTAGTTCTCACGATTCTTGAGTCTATATCTGGTACAGACAAGGTATTGACCCTGGCTGCAGCATCCATGGATACAGAGGGTGTCACCAGCAGGTTGTTTTATTACTGCACACTGATCTCTGGTCTCCGGTGCATGACCGGAGGGGAGGGGGCTGTCCTGGTTTGAGATGAACTTTTCCATCTTTTTCACCTTGGGAGTTGAAGCTTTGTCTATTTGTCTTTCATTTTGAACTTAGTGGATGCTCTTTTTTCTTGGGCTATTTTAAACCCTAACAAAGCCTTTACTTCATTGTTGTTTTTGTTTGTTTGTTTGTTTTTTCAAATTCTGTGATCTCTCTAGAGGCTTGACCTAGTGACTGAGCCATCTGATATTTCCTTAGTGTTTCAGTTAGAGGTAATTTACTCCTTGAAAAATGAAGAAAGCACCATAAAATATATTCGCTTGATAGTGTGAGTTTGCTACCCTCACTCTTCTTTCTTAGTCTTAATGAACTTCCAGCTAACAAGTACACTTGAAGATGGGAAAATCCAAGGGCTGGGAAGGTAGCTCAGTGGTAAAGCGCTTGCCTTGCATGCTTGAGGCTCTGGGTTCGATTCCTCAGTACCCATAAGCAAAAAAAAACCTGGAAGTGGCGCTGTGGCTCAAGTGGTAGAGTGCTGCCTTGAGCTGAAGAGCTGAGGGGCAGCGCCCAGGCCCAGAGTTCAGGCCCACAACCCGACCCAAAACAAAAGAAGATGGGGAAATCCAGAGGACAAATGAGAAGAGAAAATCCTTTCTCTTTTTTGTTGCAAAGTAGTTCACTTAGTTTTTCATTTCTCCCATTTCCTTCTCTTTTTTCCTGCCCTCAGCTCATCCTCTAGCCCTCGTGGGGTCTTCTGCTTCTAGGGAGCAGGAATGCTTACTCGTCTCCAGGAACTACAGTTGCTCACATGGGCCATTGAGAGGAAGTACTCTCAACAAAGAGAGGATATGTTTTGTTTTGTGTGGTTTTTTTTTCCCCACCAGTTCTGACCTCTATTTTCCTCTCATCCTGCTGGCTAAGTGTAATCAGAATAAGGTGGTGGTGTGGGATGAGGGTGGAGTTCAGCATCTGTGGTATCTGAGGAAGCTGTGGAAGCCCTCGTCTCCCACAGGAAAAGGGACTGAAGTGTGCATCCAGGTTCTGCGCACCAGCCTGCCTGCCTTTCCTCATTTAGGGTATCACTGCTCTGAAACATCTGCTGGGGTCAAAGTAATAAAAACACTTAGATCTGTGCCTCAAAGTGCAGCTGAATTAATTGCCACCTATTTTGAAGCCTCCATTCTTTGCAGTGAGAAACGAGAGCAATCCTGTATGATGGTGTCCCTAAGCCATTTGCTCCTCCCACTCTTGCTTTCTCTTCCTTTTTTTTTTTTTTTCTTTCTGTCTGAGATCAGGACTCAAACTCACTACTTGACACTTTACCCCTATTGGCAGGCACCCTGACACCTGAACCATACCTCCAACCCCTTGCTTTTATCTTCTAAATTTGAAGCTCCTGACATTCTGAAGAGTGGCTCATTCTGAAATGCCACAGTGTACTATGTGTTTGTCCTTACGTAAACAGAGCGGGAAGCTTTGTGTTTGCATATTGTGTGTTCCCTGGGGACTCTGAAGACTTACTTTAGTTTCTACCAGGTGAACAGCTGCTTTGTGAAGCCAGCACAGTCCTGAAGTATGTGCAGGAAGATTCCTGTCAGCGTGGAGTCTACGGGAGACTTGTCTGCACAGACTTTAAGATTGCCTTCTTGGGTGATGATGAATCTGCTTTGGATAATTACGTACGTATGAACTAGATCTGCTGAATTTAGAATGAAGAGTGCAATTAGGACTTGTATTGCTCCCCTCCCAGTTTCTTAATCCTGCCATACCCAACACATAATATTAGCAGAAGATAGAAATTGTTCTTATCATAAGTCTATTCTCTTCAGAGAGTCTGTGCAGCAGGACCATTAAACAACTTCCCACTTATGCCTCATGTCACATTGGTTTGCTTTTTTTTTTTTTTTGGTCAGTCATGGGGCTTGAACCTGGGCCAGGGCACTGTCCTTCAGCTCTTCAGCTCAAGGCTAGCGCACTTGAGCCACAGCGCCACCTCCCATTTTCAGAGTGATTTATTGGAGATAAGAGTCTTACAGCCTTTCCTGCCTGGGCTGGCTCTGAACCTCGATTCTCAGATCTCAGCTTCCTGAGTAGCTAGGATTACAGGTGTGAGCCACCAGCGCCTGGCTAAATCACTCATTGAAATAACACTTTTCCCCAATATATTAGTTCCCCATGTTTTCTGTATCCTAATCTTCCTCAAATCCAGGTATTGAGTTTAGTAATGAAACTAATAGTGAGTCCAGACTTTAACTTGAGCTTTTTAATCTGAACCTTGTAGTTCTGTCCTTGTGAGACATGTCGACATGTCCCTACTTAAGAATGAACAATGCAGAAAGGACAGAACTGTCCCAATGGGAGAGCACTGAATGCCAATGGATACCCAGCCAGAGACCTTCTGGCCCCCGCAGAGACTTTTTTGGCCCCAGAGTGCCAGCTGTTTCCAAAGTCCCTTGCTTTTTTTTTTTTTTGTCAGTCGTGAGGCCTGAACTCTGGGCCTGGGTACTGTTCAAGGCTAGCACTCTACCAATTAGCTACAGCACCACGGCCTTTTCTGTTTATATAGTGCTATGGAATTGACCCCAGGGCCTCATGCATGCAAGGCAAGCTCTCTACTACTGAGCCACCTTCCCAGCCCTAAATGTTTAGCCCTTGTTTTTGAAAGCATCTGCCAACTCTCGTCTCTATGCTGCTTCTCTTTGAAGTCAGTATTTTCTAGAAATTTGAATCTTTCTGTATTTTCTTCTTAAAGTTGGCCTCGGGTAGTTCTGTCAGTCACTTATTAGTTTTATGTGGAAAAAAGTTAACCAGCTTGTCACTTCTTCACACTTCTCAAAATGATGGTATATGGCAGGATGTGTTTCCATGGGAGCATCCCAGAAATGACATGTTCTGCCTAGTGTATGTGTTCATATGTGTGTGTGTGGGGAGACACACACACACACATATGCGTGTGTTTACACAAGACCTGTGACTTGAACTCTGGGTCTGGGTGCTGTCCGTGAGCTTTTATGCTGAAGGCTAAAATTCTACCACTTGAGCCACAGCTCCACTTCTGGCTTTTTTGCTGGTTAATTGGAGATAAGATACTTATAAACTTTCCTGTCTAGTCTGATCCTCAGATCTCAGCCTCCTGAATAGCTAGGGTTACAGATGTGAGCCACTGGAGTCTGGCTCTCTTCCTAATTTTGAAAACAGGTGCTCAGGAACTATTCTTACATATTTCATCGTCCCATTCTTAGGAATGATTGGTTGCCTTTTCTTTTATCTCAGTACAAAGTGGAAAACTGTGCATAGAAAGGAATTACAGGTTTGTGTTTTTAAATCTTTTAGGAGACTCAATTTAAGAATAAGGTTATAGGAGAAAATGACATTACACTCCATTGTGTGGATCAGATTTATGGAGGTAAGTATCTTTTTTCCCTGTGTTATTTCCAATCTTGTAATATATAGCTGAAAGTGATCATTTTCTTGTAGTCCTTACAGTTTATTCAAATGTATTCATATATGTTGTCATATAAAGTACCTTCATGATGATAAATTGAAGTATGAAGGAAATTTTTTTGAGTTGCTTAACTGGAGAAACTTGGACTTGAAACATATTCTTTTTATTTTTTATTTTTTAAACTAGTTATATGTAAGGGTTGCCAAAAGACTACCACATGGTTCAGGCAGAAAAGAGTTTATTGGGAGAGCCAAGCTGCACTCTAGGGTAGGGTGAGGCAGCTGGAACTAATGGCAGAGAAAGGTTATATAGGGAAGAGCAAGAAGGAGGCGTAACTGCAGTGGATGAGGAAGTGACCTCAGAGCCTGGGGACCTCCCACTAACTCGTAGGTGCACAGCGACCAGTTTCCTGGTGGTTACAGGTGATGGGCAGGGACTTCTAGGGAGGGTCATGTGCAGTTTTGTAGGGAGAGAGAACAAAGGGGAAAGGGTCAATGTGTGGTTTCACATGAAGAGAAAATGAAGGGAAGGGGTCATTTTCCCAGGTGGACCTAACACTAGTATACATTAATTATACAAGGAAGGGGTTCCATTATGAAATGTCTACACATGTCCAAATGTATCTCAATAAATCTCACACCATAATCACTTTTTCTTACCTCCTTTTTCCCTCCTTAAAACATTTTGATAGGTTTTATTGTTCTGTTTTCATTCATGTAAGCAAACTATTTCAACCATATTCATCCTCATTATTCTCTCTCTTTTGTTTTTGAGAGGGCTTCACTGTGTCAGCCCAGAGTAAACTCAAACTTAAAATCTTGCCTCTTCCTCTTGAGCACTGGGATTACAGTATAACTTAAAACCTGTTCTTCCTAATATTTCATACTAGATCATTCCATGTTAAGTGTTGGCCATAGTATCTAATATCAGTGTTAGCTGTGTAGGTTTTACTTTAAAGATTGATTTATATTGTTTCGTACTGACTAGATAAGTATCTACTGTTAAGTATCTCTGTTCTCCATTTTTGGGTTAAAGTATTTTCAAAAATTATTCAGTGGCCACTGGTGATGTTCTCAACACCATTAGGTGCTCAGTTGATCTAGGCTCAGGAGCAGACAGAAGATGTCATGAGAGGTGTTAGCTGTAAACTTGAACATTGGCTAGTCTGAAAGCATGTCTTCAGCATTCTACCAATCATTCTTTTTTTTTTTTTTGGCCAGTCCTGGGGCTTGAACTCAGGACCTGGGCACTGTCCCTGAGCTTCTTTTGCTCAAGGCCAGCACTCTACCACTTGAGCCACAGTGCCACTTCTGGCTTTTTCTGTTTATGTGGTGCTGAGGAATCGAACCCAGGGCTTCATGCATGCTAGGCAACATTCTACCACTAAACCTCATTCCCATCCCTCTACCAATCATTTTTTATGATCTCAACTTTCAGAACTGAGTGTTCTTCAGGCCTTTGGAGTCTATTCTGGCCACAGTGACCAGTCCATTTGGGTCTTATACTGACTCTAGAGGAATGAAGAGCCTGCTTGTTCTCAGAGAGCCGAGTTCCTGCTAGGAGAGACTGAGCTCCTGTCATAAGAAGTTAATTGTGCATTGTTTCTTTAGCATTAAGGGTTGCTTTGTAACATAATTTCCTGGTTTCATCACTCCCCTGTAGTGTTTGATGAGAAAAAAAAGACTCTCTTTGGACAGCTAAAGAAATACCCTGAGAAACTTATCATCCACTGCAAAGACCTCCGAGTGTTCCACTTTTGTCTGAGGTACACAAAGGAAGAGGAAGTCAAAAGGGTAACTAGTCACATGCATTTATAGGTTTTATTTCCTATTAGATTTCCCCCCACTGGTTTTGTTTTGCTTCTGTTCATGAAGGTAAAGAGGAACCTTTTACTCTATAAAGCTGAAATTAGTTGTAATCCTGTATTCTTTGATTAGAGTATGAGAGATAATTGAGTAAAGCATACTTTTGTGTCAACTTGGTAAATGAAACCTTTGATCCTTCAATTCATAATGTTTTTCTTGGAGCCTGTAAAGCAAGGGTAGGGAATATTTGGACCATGGGTCGTACAAGTCCAACTAAATCATCTGGTACATGATGGGACAGACACAGATGCTTTATGATTCCCATCAGCTTCTGTGGCTGTCTCCCTATATTGATGATTTTCTGTGCCAGTGAAGGGTGTTATAAATATCCACGAGGCCCTTGGCATGAAAAAGGTTCCCCACCTCTGTTAGGAGGTGGGGAACAAGAGGATGGGACAGCTAAAAGTTATTCCCTTTCTCCATTTCTGACAGTCTGTCTAAAGGCAGTAGTGCTGAGTTCTAACTCCTGATAATAAACGAATTTACCTGTGGGAGAGTGGTTGTGTGTGGTAGACAATTTGCCACCACTAGTGTGTCTTTGGAAACTAAATATCATTTCCTCGTTGCAAAACAAGATCTGTAACAGAGCTAGCACATTTAAAAGTGACTATAACAATTGGATAATTCGTGCAATCCCAAAATTTCTCTTAAGATAGTGAAGATCTCAGACCTCTTATCAAGTTAAACACCTCAGGAAAAACCTAGCATGAAGCTAGTTCATGAGTGTTGTGTTATGCACGCCTATAGGTAACACCTTTTCTTTCAGATAGTGCAGTAATTCTGTTAGAATAAATGTGACTTCACTATCTATTCTGAGCAGGTGAAGATTGGTGAGAATATGGAAAATTCTGTGAGGAACCAGACACTTAATTTTGGATAATGGTTTTAGTCATCTATTCAAACAGACTTTTGTTTGATTCAATAGACAAACAGTGCTACAGGTAGATTTCTTTTTCTACTCTTTTAGAGGATCCTAAAGGCCACAAGTAGGTCAAAGCAAAACAGATTCCACCTGTAATTCTTTGACATGTTAGATATTTAGTGCACCTGACTTACAGCACTTTCACTTTTCAGAACTTTGCTTCTGAAAAATTAGACCATGTTTTCTAATTTTCCCTAGAAACTCAGAGCTCTTAAAAAGCCTAAAAACTAGTACTCTGTTGGCCTGGCATTATTCCAAGAGCTAAGTGATGGATTCAGACCCCCAACAAGAGTTGCTATTGTCTGGGCTGGGAAGGTGGCTCAGTGGTAGAGCGCTTGCCTCGCATGCTCAAGGCCCTGGGTTCGATTCCTCAGCACCACATAAGCAAAAAGAAAAAAGCCAGAAGTGGTGCTGTGGCTCAAGTGGTAGAGCACTGGCCTTGAGCTGAAGAGCTGAGGGACAGTGCCCAGGCCCAGAGTTCAGGCCCCACGACTGGACCAAAAAAAAAAAAAAAAAAAAAAGAGTTGCTATTGTCCTTGAAGCCCTATTGGCATGACTTTGAACAATTTATCTCTTGCCTGTCTTTAGGTTTAGCTGTCAAAAGCATATAACTATATCCATTGGTTGCTTTTCCAGATTGTCAGTGGTATAATTCATCATACCCAATCTCCTAAACTGCTGAAGAGATTGTTTCTGTTTTCCTATGCACAAAACAACACAGGTAAGAATTTTCTGAGTTTTCATTTTATGATCAGCAGGATGTGTGTGTGTGTGTGAGAGAGAGAGAGAGAGAGAGAATAGGAATTGAACCTAGGACCTTACCCATGCTAGGTAAACTCTCTACAACTTAAGTCCTTACTTTAGCCTATTTGTTTTATTTTGCTTTTGAGATAGTGCCTGGTGTGGTCTGGAGCTTGAAATCCTCCAGCTTCTGCCTTCTCCACTAAATGTAGGCAGGATTCTTTATTCTTTTTTCTTTTTGTGCCAATCTTGGGCCTTGAACTCTGGGTCTCTGCATTGTCACTGAGTTTTTTTTTTGCTCAAGGCTAGCACTCTTACCACTTGAGCCACAGCTCCACTTCCAGATTTTTGTGATTAATTAGACATGAGCTCATGGATTTTCCTGCCTGGTCTGGCTTTGAACCATGATACTCAGATCTCAGCCTCCTGAGTAGCTTGGTTTACAGGGGTGAGCCATCAGTGTCCAGCTCATTGCCTTTTAGTAGAGTTTTGTGCCAGAGGCCAGGATACAGAGCATCTTTTTAAAAATTCCATCCTTCTCCTTTCTCCCATCTAACCTCCTTTATTTGGGGGAAGTAAAGATAAGAACTGAGGCTAATTGGACAATTAGTTTTTTCATTGAGGAGTGTATATATACTTTGCATCCTGAGTATTTAATTGTTCTCTGGCTTAATAATTTACAAAAGTGGTTTGGCTCAAAGGTCCTAAATGCTAATACCAGGGAATTTTAAGGAAGGACTTGCCTGTATTGGTAAGAACAATGAAGTCTGGAGGGTAGTTCTGAGAGGAAGATGGGTTAAGTGAGAGTGATGTATACTAATTTTAAAAAACACATTAAAAGAAAAAAGAAAAGGCCTAGTAAGTTTTGTTTTTTTAATATATCCATTGGATTATTTATATATTGCATTTTCGCTTTATGACAATTTCCATTTTAGCTACCTGGGTTTGAATTTCATTTCTACATTGCCTAGCTCTGTTACCTGGGCAAGTTATTCAGCTTTTCTGTGCCATATTTATAACATCAGTAGGTAACCTATTATATTACCTGTCCTGAAGATTAAATTAATAAAATGTAATGCACTCAAAATAGTGTCTTCAACATAGTGTTACACGGGTTGAGTGTCTCTTACTCAAAATACTTAGATACAGAAGTGTTTTGAAACTGGGAATACTGGCATATGTATAATGAAATAATCTTGGCGACAGGACCCAGTGTTAAATAAAGAATTCATTTAGGGGCTGGGAAGGTGGCTCAGTGGTAGAGCGCTTGCCTTGAGCTGAAGAGCTGAGGGACAGCGCCCAGGCCCAGAGTTCAGGCCCCATGTATATTTCATATACATGTATTCGTATAACCTGAAGGCAGTTTGTAAAAAAAAAAAAAGTCAGTCATGGAGCTTGAACTCAGGGCTTGGTACTGTCTCTGAGCTCTTTTGCTCAAGGCTAGTGGTCTACCACTTTGAGCCACAGTTCCACTTCCTGTTTTTGGTGGTTAATTAGAGGTAGGCATCTTATGGACTTTCCTGCCTAGGTGGGCTTTGAACCACAATCCTCACATCTCAGCCTCCTAAGTAGAAAGGATTATAGGTGTGAGCCATCAGTGCCTGGCTCCTGAAGGCAATTGTGTTACCTACATTCTGTCTCTCAAGCTGGTGCTCTCTCTCGCTCTCTTTCGCGCTCTCTTTCGCGCTCTCTTGCTCTCTCTTGCTCTCTCACTCTCTTGCACCCTGCCCCTCTCTCTGTTTGTGTGTGTCTGTCTCTCTGTCTCTCACACACACAATTACTGGAGCTTTATCTCAGGGCTTTGTACTCACTGTGCATTTCCTGCTCATGGCTGAGGCTCTGCTACTATAGGATGCTTCTACTTCAGCTTTTTGCTGACAAATTGGAGATGGAATCTCTTGGACTTTTCTGCCAAGGCTGGCTTTGAACTGTAATCTCCCAGGTCTAGCTAAGCTTATAGCTATGAGCCACCAGTGCCCAGCTACAATATTTTCAATGTACTTTTTTGTGTATATGGTGCTGGGGATTAAACCTAGGACCATGTGCATGGTATACAAGTACTCTATTCCTGAGCTATATCCCCAACCCACACCTGTGTTTTGACTATACTTGTCACATGAGGTCAGGTGTGGAATTTTCTACTTACATTCTTACATGGTCACTCAAGTTTTGGATTTGGCAGTATTCAGGTTTTAGATTTTTAGGTTGGGGATATTCAATATACACAAACGTTGGTTATTGTCATCATCATTTTTCCTTTTATTTTTGCTATGGTTTTGTTTTCTGGTTTTGTTTACCAGAACAGGAGGGGTGGTTTTAGCAGACACTTTGTTTTTCCCAGGAGACTATTTTGGTGCATGTTACCTTCAGTCAGCAGATTATTGTCTAGGAGAAGACCAAGGATTACATCTACTGGGCTGCAAGAGCATTATTCCTAGACATTTCATTCTAGCTGGTAGTGCCAGGGCTGGTTTAGGAACCAAAGTACCTGTCACCATGATGTGGCCCTGGGCTACTAGGCCCCAGCTCTTAATGTAGCTGCCTGAGCTCTTTATGGCCTTCAGTAAGCAAGTGCCATACTAGCCAGATGTTAGGTACAACTTTAAAGGGCAGAGGGATTTTTATTCAAGTATCTGACATGCTATTCAAGTTGGGTTGTTATGCACATATTGGTAGGGCTAAAAATTCTTCAGTATTTTAGCCTTGCTGTCATACCCATCTTTTAGTGCTTCACACAATCTTTTTGTTTTACATAAATTATTTTGTGGTAAAATGAGAATGGAGCTATAAATTACTAAATTACAAGAACAACTCATTTTCTGTACTATAAAAAGATAAGCTAAGTCATAATTTTGGATTAATGACCAAAACTAAAATTGAGCTGGGATATGATTCAGTAGTAGAATTCATGCCTAATATGCACAAGGCCCTGAGTTTGATCCCTAATGGTACAAAACCAAACTGAAACCAAAAAACATAACAATGTAAGGATTAAGCAATGAATTCATTTAGAGGAAATAATGGCCTGTGAAGGCATTGCAGTAAATAAAATACAAGTGTCTTGAAGAGATTTTTGTCCTGCTAATTTTGTTTTATTAGCCACTAAACCCAGGAACCATACAGTAATGTTTGACACACTTAAGGACTGGTGTTGGGAACTGGAGCGGACCAAAGGCAACGTGAAATACAAACCAGTGAATGTCAATGAAGGCTACAAAGTTTGTGAGAGGTAAGTTTCAATGCTGGCTATTTATCATACTCACCCATTTGAAGTGCATGGTGTTTTAAAAAATACATTGTTAGCGTTGTGCAGCCATTATCAAGGTCAATTTTAGAAAAATTTTCTCATCCTCCTAAGACCCCAGGCCCATTAGCAATCACTCACCACACATCATCTTCCTGTTGACCAACCCCTAACAATCACTGCTCTGCTTTCTTTGTTGATTTGCTTGGTCTGGATATTTCATATAAATGGAATCATATATGTGATCTTTCATGACTGACTTCTTAGTATGGTTTCAAAATTCATCCATGTTGCAGTATACTAAAAGAATTACAGGGCTGGGAAGGTGACTCAGTCGTAGAGCGCTTGCCTTGCATGCATGAGGGCCTGGGTTCGATTCCTCAGCATCACATAAGCAAAAAGAAAAAAGCCAGAAGTGGCGCTGTGGCTCAAGTGGTAGAGTGTTAGCCTTGAGCTAAAGAGCTGAGGGACAGTGCCCAGGCCTAGAGTTCAGGCCCCATGACCAGACCCCCCCCCCCAAAAAAAAAAAAAAGAATTCCATTCTTTTTTTATTGCCAACTAATGTTTCATGGAATGAATCTACCACATTTTATTTATTCATCCATTAATTGATAGATGTTTAGATTGGTTTTACTTTGAGGGCGCTTCTGAATAAGACAGACAAGTATTTATTTACAAGTTTTTGTGTGGATTTTTTTTCTCTCCTTAGTATATAATCTAGGAATTGAATTTCCAGAATGTATCACAACTGTGTTTAACTCTTTGAGGAACCTCCAGACTATTTTCCTAAGAGATTACGTATATAGCAGTATATGAGGGTTTTTTCTTCTTATCAACAGTAGTTTTAATTGTTAAAAATGGGACTCATGTTGGGTGCTAGTGGCTCACACCTGTATTCCTAGCTATTCAGGAGGCTGAGATCTGAGGCTCAAAGTTCAAAGCCAGCCCTGAGAAAAGTCCTCTTGAGACTCTTATTCCCAATTAACCACTCAACAACTGGAAGTGGTGCTGTGGTTCAAATGGTAGGGGGCTAGCCTTGAGCACAAAGAGGCTTAGGAACAGTACCTTGAATTCAAGACCTACAACCGACCAAAAAAAAAAAAAAAAATAAGGAGGGGGGAACCTCAGGATTTGGGAAATAATCTTATCACTGAACCACAGCCTCAGAACCTCAATGCTAGCTTTTAAAGGAAACTTCTACCCCTGAGTGTGCTGACTAGGCTATGGTTCTACCATTTGAGTTACCCGTCTAGTCTGGGTTTTTGCTGGCTGTTTTGGAGACAGAGCTCCATATACTTTTCTGTTCAGATTGACTTTGAACCTTGATCCTCTGTATCTTAACCTCCTGAATAGCTAGGATAATAGACATGAGTCACCAGTGCCCAGCAAAAGAAACTTTCAAAGTAGCTATTAAAATACTTTTTGAGTCTGATTACAAGCTGATGCCTGTAATCCTAGCAATTCAGGAGGCTGAGATGTGAGGGTCACAGTTCAAAGCCAGCCCAGGCAAGAATGTCCATGAGATTCTTTTTTTTTTTTTTTTTTTTTTGGTCAGTCATGGGGCTTGAACTTCGGGCCTGGGCACTATCCCTCAGCTCTTCAGCTCAAGGGGAGCCTGTATCACTTGACCCACAGCGCCACTTCAGGTTTTCTTAGTGGTTTATTGGAGATAAGAGTCTCAAGGAGTTTCCTGGCTGGGCTGGCTTTGAACTGTGATCCTCAGATCTCAGCCTCCTGAGTAACTAGGATTATAGGCATGAGCCACTGATGCCCAGCTCCATGATATTCTTATCTACAATTAACCACAAAAAGCTGGAAGTAGAGCTGTGGCTCAAGTTGTAGAATGCTAGCCTTGAGCACAAAAGCTCAGGGACAGCACCCAGGCCCTGAGTTCAAGCCCCAGGCCTGGCAAAAAACAACAACAAAAACACCATTTTGTTGTTGTAGTTATTGCCAAGTATAAACCTTATAGGCATTTCCAAATTTATGTTGTTTAATTTTCTTTTATTACTCAAAAAACTTGATTCATTGAACAACAATTTTGGAATGCCTATTATGTGCCAGAGAATGTCTTACTATAGCTCTACAGTGCTCAGCAAAGCTCTGGAGCTTTCGAACAGAGGGTGGCATAGAATATAGAAATAAGATATATTAATAGGAAGGTGCTGCAGAGCTGGAGGTTTAGGTCAGTGGCAGTACACTTGCTTACCATGAATGGGGGCCTCATCCTTTGAGCAAAGTCTTGAATAAGTGAAGATTAAGCCAGATTAGTTGCCTGGCAAGTATTTTGGGCAGAGAGAATAGTAAGAGCTGTGTAAATAATGGGCCTAGAGACAAGTGGAGGAAGTTAGGGAAAGAGCAGTAGGAGGTAAGGGGAGAGAAAGGACCATATGAATGTTTTCAGAAGTATAATCCTTTCTGATTCTCAGAACAATAAGGGGAGTCAGGGCAGAGGTGTAGAGAGTGATGGACATACATTTTTAAAGGATGGCTTTGCTTACATAATCTGTTTTTAGAAATCTGAGTCTTGTCATTTTGGAACATAGTTCCTATCACTCTATTAACAGTTTTATGAGATGCTTTCAGTTTGTAGGGCTTCTTTTTTTTTTTTTTTTTTTTGAATTCTGGGCCTGGGCACTGCCCCTCAGCATTTCAGCTCAAGGCTAGCACTCTACCACTTGAGCCACAGCGCCACTTCCAGCTTTTTCTGCTTATGTGGTGCTGAGGAACTGAAGCAAGGGCCTCATGCAAGGCAAGCGTTCTACCACTGAGCCACCTTCCCAGCCCTGGTAGGGCTTTTGTATTTTGTCTGATAGGCCTCTGCAGCATAGTTTTGGTTTCGATCAATCTGAGACCTTTATAGGATGACACCTCACACAGGAATGAACTGTGGTGACAGTGGGAGGGGCCTGCTGAGTCCTGAAACCACCTAGAACTTCACTATTGGCCCTGCCTTGCTCTTTGCTCTTTCTCCTTTCCCCAGTGAAAAAGCTTGAAAAGGAAAAGCTAGCTTCTACTCAGAAAGAGATTAGAAACTCCTGCTCCTCAGTGGTGTGATGCAAGGTTGATACCAATGAATGTCCCTATTCCTAGTAATTGTGGGGCTTGTTTGTTTAAAAGAAGATTGCTCCATTGCCTAGGCTCACCTTGATTTCCTTCCCAGGCCTAGGCAGTCTTGCCACTTAAGCCTCCTGAGTAGCTGGAACTACAGGCAATGTACTACTTATGCCCTGCTACCAGAATTCTTTTTTTAAGAGCCATATACTGATTTGAGATGTTTGTGTAGGTGACAGTGTGTGAAAGACACCGAGTTAAGCAATTTATCCGTATTTGGATACTTGGAGTGCTTATTGCAGGCACACAGCAAGAACAGGCATGATATATGAAAGACTGTGCGTTGTTTCTGTCCTACCATAGTGGCTATCTATGTAGTCTTTCCCATCTATATATCCCATCATCCCATCCCACCCTCAGCTTCTATTCTTTGTCTGTACAACAAACTCAGACATTCTTCCTATGTGCATTGACCATCCCATGTACATTGATCATACCTCTCCTTCTGTGGCTTCCCGCTGGTCTTGGTATAGAACAGAACTCTTAAGCAGTACCTGAGGGTCTATCTTTGACTCCTGACTCTAACGCTGTCCCACCCCAAAACCCATACTGGTCACCCTGTGCAAAGGGCTCTTGCCTGGAAACACAAGATATTTTGTGGATGGTTAACTCGAGTTCATTGATAACGCTCAGCATAGTGCTACTTTTTTTTTCCCTTCCAGTCCTGGAGCTGGAACTCAGGGCCTGGACACTGTCCCTAAGCTTTTCAGCTTAAGGTGAGTGCTCTACCACTTGAGCCATAGCGCCACTTCTAGTTTTCTGTGGTTAACTGGAGACAAGAATCTCACAGACTTTCCTTCCTGGTCTGGCCTGGCTTGGAATCATGATCCTCAGATCTCAGCTTTTCAAAGTAGCTAGGATTACAGACAGGTGTGAGCCACCAGTGCCCAGCATCAATGCTGCTTTTTAAGGAAGCTGTTCAAGACTAGATTAGGTAGATAAGTGCTATGATTCAAGCCTGAAGCCTGAGCTGCTGCTGCTTCTTTTTCTCCCCTGCCCCCTTAATTGTGGAGCTTGAACTTGGTGCCTGGGTACTGTCCTTGAGCTCTTTCGCATAGGTCTAGTTCTCTACCATTTTGAGCCACAGTTCCACTTCCAAGATTTCTGTTGGTTAATTGGAGATAATAGTTTCACAGACTTTCCTGCCTAGGCTGGCTTCAAACTTAGCTCCTCAGATCTCAGCCTCCTCAGTAGTTAAGATTATAGGCATGAGCCACAGCTCATGAATTGCCTTATCTATAGATTCTTATCTATCATATATTTCTAATAACTTGCTGAAGAAATAAAGCTATTTGTCTAATAGAATTTCCCAGAGTATACATTTTGATAGTTTATGTAATATATTGTTTGTTCTCCTATGAATTGATGTACATTAGAGTTATGATCTCTTTAAAGCTTTATACAGTGACCTGTAACTTAACAGATTTAGATCAAGCATGAAGTATACATGCAAACACTAATGAGTTTTTTTTTTATTACATCTTAGCATTGTGGGCATTTGTATTTCTCATGAGAGTTTATTTTGAGCTATTTGAGGGAGGGATGTGTACAGTAGTGAATCTTAGTCAGTTTCTAATAAATTTTCATCTGCCATCTGAGTGTCCAGGTACATCTTTTATCTCTGCAACTCTGAAAATCTTCTTTCCTATGACCTATTATTTAGGAGGCTTGTTCTCTTTAGAGGCTAATTTTTTTAAAAAGTTGAAGTCAGAGCCAGGTGCCTGTGGCTCACGCCTGTAATCCTAGCTACTCAGGAGGCTGAGATCTGAGGATCACGGTTCAAAGCCAGCCCAGGCAGGAAAGGCTGTAAGACTCTTATCTCCAATAAATCACTCAAAAACCGGAAGTGGCACTGTGGCTCAAGCGGTAGAGTACTAGCCTTGAGCTGAAGAGCTGAGGGACAGCGCCCAGGCCCAGAGTTCAAGCCCCACGACCAACAAAAAAAAAAGTTGAAGTCAGTAGTGCCTCTGTTCAGGTGCCTACTATATGCTAACAAGTTTATAACCTGGGAAAGGCCTCAGTGTTGTCTCTCTCTCTAAAATGTGAATTATTCACTCACTGGGAAGATTAAACGAGTAATTCATGTTGAAGTGTTAGAGCAATCTCTGACTCAAATGTTCATTGTCAGAGCATTTAAAAAAGCAGGCATTAATCGTAATTACTTTTTTTCAGACAGTTAAATTGAATGAAACACAGGTGCTTATATTATTATTGTCACTCCTGATTTTGGAATTCATCCACCTTTCCAGAATGAATTTTCCAACCTTCCCATACACCACCATTTTTTTTTTTAAGTGTGTTGTTGAGGATCCAGGGCCTTGCAAATGCTAGACAAATTCTCACCACTAAGCTGTATCAACCTCAATTTTGTCACTATAGATGTAGATGAGGAAACAGATTCAGAAAAGGTACAGAAATTTATCTAGAGTTGAACGAAAATCAGACACAGGGCTAGGATTTAAATTTTCATTTCTGACTGACTTGATCAGACTATTTTACATCAAACTGGGAGAGTTCATCTAAGCTGTTTTTTGTTTTTGTTTTGGTGCTAAGGACTGAACAAACTCAGAGACTTGGCATTTGCTCGACAAGCACTTTTCCACTGAGCTAAATCAATAACCCCAGTTCTTTGTGCCTTGGCCAGGTGTTTTTTCTTAGGAGGGATATATGATCATTCTTATAATGTTTTTTTTTGGTCGGTGGTGGGGCTTGAACTCTGGGCTTGGGCGCTATCCCTAAGCTCTTCAGCTCAAGGCCAGTGCTCTTCGGCTTGAGCCACAGCATCACTTCCGGTTTTCGAATGGTTTATTGGAGACAAGAGTCTCACGGACTTTCATTGCCTGGGCTGGCTTTGAAACGTGATTCTCAGGTCTCAGCCTCCTGAGTAGCTAGGATTACAGGCGTGAACCACCGGCACCCGGCTATAATGCTTTATAATGCTCAGCTTCCTTGTATTCATTGAAATTGAACTTTCATACTTTGTGAATTGAGTGTAGTATTAGAATCTGATGGCCTCTCTTTCTTCTAGGTTGCCAGCATACTTTGTTGTCCCCACCCCTCTTCCTGAGGAGGATGTGAAACGCTTTCAGGGTCATGGCATACCAGTAAGTTCATCTGGAAATGCTAAAAGGCTTTGGTTGCTCACTGGCCCATCCAAACGAAGGGATCCTACTTAAAGCCTTGGCTTTGGTATTCAAGAGTTTGTCCTCAGTCCAAGAATAATCCAGAAATAACAGAAACTCCCTAGAGAAGTCTCTTGAACATGAGACTCCCTGAGACAGTTTTAAAGTTCTCACAGATGCACTTAAGTTTTTAGCAGTGACACTGAAAAGCTGGAAGAAGATTATAATATTGTTTCCTATGGAAAGCAAAACTGGTTTAACACCTAAGTCATTTTGAACCTTAGCTGACCACTCTTAAGAGTGGTAGGATTGTGCTTTATTTGGGTTGGCACTAGGAATCTTGGTATAGTGTGGTTATTCTTTCTTCCAGAGATGACAAGAATTGCTTCTTCATTTTCACAGAATAGTATGGGATGGGAACCATATTAAGTGTGTCACTGATGAGAGAAACCAAGACTGTGGTAGCCACTCCCGTTTCTAATTGGTGGCTGGGAGTTCCTGAGCCTACAAGGAATTGAGTAATGAATGAGAATTACAAGTAAATGCTGCACGGTACAGATAGCTTCTTCACTAAAATGGTCATTCCCATATGGGAAGAAAGATGGTGAAGCAGGCCCAGAAGCTCCTGAAGCCAGAAAGATAATAAGCACGGCATTGCTGTGAACCAGAGATTCTGTCTAGTCCAGGGGCAGCTGTTTAGTAGCAGCCCATTTGTTTCATGAGGGACTATGGGCCCAGTGTTCCCAATATGTCCACATTTTTTTCGTTTTTATTTATTTTCTTTATTATCTTTAAGTTGTTGTACAAAGGAGTTGCCATTTAACAAAGTAGTTTATGTATATATATATATATATATAATATATTACATTATATATGTTATATATAATATATATAATTATATATATATAATGCATCTTGACTAATGTCAGCCCTGTCAGTGTTCTACCCATCCCTCCCATCCTATCTCTTCTCACACTTTTTTTTTGTTGTTGTTAGTTATGAGGCTTGGGCGCTGTCCCTCAGCTCTTCAAGCTCAAGGTGAGCACTCTACCACTTGAGCCACAGTGCCACTTCCAGTTTTCTGGTGGTTTTCCTGGCTTTGAACTGTGATCCTCTGTCTCAGCCTCCTGAGTAGCTAAGATTACAGGCGTGAGCCACTGGCACCCAGCATCTCTCACTTTTTTTAAAATTTTGTAGGATATATATTTAATTCTTGACTACATTCACCCCCACTCCTTCTCTTCATCTACCCCCTCCCTACCTCTTCCCCACTCCACCCCTTTCAAGTACCCATTTCCTGGTATTCATTTTGTTCAACTTTAACTTTACGTTTCTAAGGCAAAGTTCTAATCTACCATACTTTAGTTAATATATTTGTATATACTTGCATACCACTCAAGATATTTACTTAGAGGCTTATAAATTAATTCCACAAGAGGAAAAGCACACATCCTTTGTCTCTCTGGACTTGATTTACTTCACTTAACATAATTCTTTTAGGTCTTTCCATTTCTTTTTTTTTTTTGAGTCCGGTTGTAGGGCCTGAATTCTGGGCCTGGGTGCTGTCCCTCAGCTCTTCAGCTCAAGGCTAGCGCTCTACCACTTGAGCCACAGCGCCACTTCGGGCTTTTTTGCTTATGTGGTGCTGAGGAATCGAACCCAGGGCCTCATGCATGCAAGGCAAGCGCTCTACCACTGAGCCACCTTCCCAGCCCGGTCTTTTCATTTCTTTACAAATGATTCAATATCACTTTCTCTAATGAAAGTGTAAAATTCCTTTGTGTATATTCTGGTCTGATTTCATACCTTGGCGATGGTGAATAATGCTGGTGGTTGTGTTGGTGATTTTCCTATATCTTTGTGTATAATCTTTTGGATAAATGCCCAGGAGTAATATGCTGGATCATAGGATAGTTCTATGTTTAATTTTTCGAGGAACCAACATATTGCTTTCCACAAGTTTACATTCTCACCAACAGTGTATTACAGTTCTCTTTTGGTCACATCCTTGCCAGCATTTGTTATTAGTTGTTTTTTTGATAATGGCCATTCTAACTGGGGTAGGGTGGAATTTCAGTGTTATTTTGATTTGCATTTCCTTTATGGTCAGAGATATTGAACATTTATTTTCTTTTTTTTTTGCTGGTTATGGGGGCTTGAACTCTGGGCTTGGACACTTTCTCTCAGCTCTTCAGCTCAAGGCAAATGTTCTACCGCTTGAGCTAGAATGCCACTTCCGGTTTTCTAGTGGTTTATTGGAGATAAGAGTCTCACAGGCTTTCCTGCCTGGGCTGGCTTTGAACCATGATCCTCAGATCTCAGCCTCCTGAATAGCTAGGATTATAGGCATGAGCCACTGGTGCCCGGCTTGAACATTTCTTAATGTGTCTATTGGCCGGTTTTACTTCTACTTCTGAGAAGTCTCTCTTTGTCTCATTAGCCCGCTTATTAATTGGGTTATTGGTTCTTTAAGGGCTTAATTTTTAAGCTCTGTGTGTATTCTGAATATTAAGTCATTCTCTGATGCAAAGCTGGCAACAAAGCTCTATACTGTAGGCTGTCTTTAGCTTGTTGGCTATTCCTTTGCTGTGCAGAAGTTTTAGTTTGATACAATTCCATTTTATCAAGTCTTTCTTTGATTTGCTGTGTTCTGATTCTTTTTTTTTTTTTTTTTGGGTCCGGTCATGGGGCCTGAACTCTGGGCCTGGGCGCTGTCCCTCAGCTCTTCAGCTCAAGGCTAGCACTCTACCACTTGAGCCACAGTGCCACTTCCAGCTTTTTTCTTTTTGCTTATGTGGTGCTGAGGAATCGAACCCAGGGCCTCAGGCATGCAAGGCAAGCACTCTACCACTGAGCCACCTTCCCAGCCCTGTGTTCTGATTCTTTATTGAGAAAGTTTCTGCCTGTGCCAAGTAGTCTTAATGTTTCTTCTATTCCTTCTTGTAATAGTTGCATGGTTTCAGGTCTGACATTGAGGTGATAGATACAGATTCAGTTTTTGTATGTGGATATCCAGTTTTCCCAGCACCACTTGTTGAAGAGGCTGTCTTTTGTGTTTTTGGCTATAGGTCTGTGGGTTTATTTCTGGGTCTTCTATTCAGTTTCATTGACTCTCAGGCTTGTTTTTGTATCTGTACCTAACTGTCTTCATTACTATAGCTCTGTAGTAGAGTTTGAGGTTTGTTATTTTTATACCTCCAGCACTATTTTTTCTACTCAGTATTCTAGACCTTCTTGTGGTTCCATATGAATTGTTGGATTATTTTCTCTGTCTCATTGAAGAATGGTGTTGGTATTTTGATGGGTATTACATGAATTTGAATAATAAGGCAAGAAAAAGACAAATAGGGAAAGAAAAGATCCAAATAGGGAAGGAAGAAATAAAATTATCCCTGTTTGCATATAACATAATCCTATATTTAAAGAACACCATAAACTCTTTCCCCAAGCTACTAGAACTGATTTAAAAACTTTGGTAAAGTAGCAAGATGTAAAATCAGTAGCTTTGGGCTAGGAAGGTGGCTTAGTGGTAGAGTGCTTGTCTTGCATGCATGAGGCTCTGGGTTCAATTCCTCAGCACCACATGAGCAGAAAAGGCTGGAAGTGGCGCTGTGGCTCAAGTGGTAGAGTACTAGCCTTGAGCTGAAAAGCTAAGGGACAGCTCCCAGGCCCAGAGTTCAAGCCCTATGATTGACCAAAAAACAAAAGTAAAAATCAGTACCTTTGAGCTGGGAATGTGACAGTGGTAGAGTGCTTGCCTAGCATGCATAAAGCCCTGGGTTCCATTCCTTAGTACAGAAAAAGCTGGAAGTGGTGCTTTGGTTCGGTAGAGTGCTAGCCTTGAGCAAAAGAAGTTCAGGGGCAGTGCTTAGGCCCTAGTTCAAACCCCAGGACTGACAAAAAAAACAAACAGACAAACAAAACAGTAGCTTTTCTGTATGTCAACAAATGAGACTGAAGTCAGGAAAGTAACTCATTTGTAATAGTCTCAAAAAACCAAGGCCTAGGAATTATCTTGACCATGGATATCAAGGACTTATAAAGTAAAAAACTATAAAAACTTATAGAAGGAAATCTATAAGGAAGTGGATAGGCTTTCCACCAAGACAGTCTTGGTCATCTTTATGCTCTCACAACCTAGTGCAGTGCTTTCCCTGTCTGAGTCCCCACCATACAGTAGTGATTGAGTAGTCACTCTGTTCTCCTGGTATACACACTCCGTTGCTGAGAGCTGCACTCTGCCATCTACTAGAGCATGACTGGTAGAGTCACACTGAAGCTACAACTTGGGAAAGTTCTTCAAGTCACTCTGAGCTTGAGGTTTTTGCTTGAAGGGAAGATAATAACCATACCTATCACTGGGAGTCACTCTGAGACTTAAATGAATTAGCACCTGTAAAATGCCTGACACTTAAGTTATACTCCAGTGATAGCTGCTGTCCTAATCATAACGATAAAAATAATGTTGTTATCATCATCTAGGTTATCAGCACTAAAGCCAAGTCAAAGGTGATTGGTAGACCATATGCAAGTCTAAATCTGACTACCTAATACTTTTATTTTTTTTAAAGACTAAATCAGTGTTTTTTATTGAGGAAATCCTCTGGGGCTTGTGTATATGCAACTATTTCTTATTGAAGTTACAAAGTTCCCTGTCTGCACTGAAATACTAAGCTTACCTGCTCCCTTTTGGTTGTGAATATTCCATCTAGCAAACATTTTTCTCCTCTGCAGATATGGTGTTGGTCCTGCCACAATGGAAGTGCCCTTTTGAAAATGTCAGCACTGCCCAAAGAACAGGATGATGGCATTTTGCAAATCCAGAAGAACTTCTTGGATGGGTCAGTACTCATTCATTCTACATTTGTTCTTGTCTAGTTCAGTTCTTGTTTTTTAAGTAGGAAATAGTTCTTAGTAGTGTGTCCTCCTCTGTTTACATGCTGATACTCAGTGCCAGAGGAATACAAGTTGCAGACATTTTTTAAATTATTTTGAAAGGAATCAATATAACAGTTATTAGGAATGTCAGCTGCACTGTTTTTAGAGATGCATGCTGAAGTATGCATGATGTCTATTATATTAACAGCTGGGCAAATCTAGGTCATAGCATATATCATTGTACTATTGTACGTTTCAGAAGTCTTTTTTTCTTTTTTCTTTTGCCAGTCCTGGGGCTTGAACTCGGCTTGGGTACTGTCCCTGAGCTTTTTTTTTTTTGCTCAAGGCTTCCACTCTACCACTTGAGCCAGCGCCACTTCCGGCCTTTGTGTTTATATGATACTGAAGTATTGAACCCAGGGCTTCATGCATGCTAGGAAAGCACTCTACCACTAAGCTACATTCCCAGCCCATGTGTAAAACTTTTCAAAATAAAATTTTAAGCTGGCCACTGGTGGCTCATGCCTGTAATCTTCACTACTCAGGAGGCTGAGATCTGAGGATTGTGGTTAAAAGCCAGTCCAGGCAGGAAAGTCTTGTGAGATTCCAATTAACCACCTGAAAACCAGAAATAGAGCTGTGCCTTGACCAGTAGCCTTGGTAGAGCAGTAGCCTTGAGCAAAATAGCCCTGAGATCTCAAGCCCTGAGATCTAGCCCCACAACTGATAAAAACTAAATAAATATATAAAAATTTGAAAAATCCAAAGTCAATAAATTAAAAACAACAAAAAAGTAGGCTCTGGAGTTAAATTTTTGGCTCACATCATGGCTCTTTTCAGTTGAGAACATTGATAACCCTGGACAATTCTACTCTTTGATCGCATGTCCAAATCCATTGTTTGGGGACACAGTCTTAAAGCAGGTTCCTTATAGATGAGGGTTTAGTAGGAGATACCCTCAGGCCTCTTAGCACAGGTCATGGTGGTACTCAAGAAAAACAAGCTATTGTAAATTCGTATTTGCTCTTCTAATCTCATGTTACTTTTTGATGCCTAGAATTTACAAGACCATCCACAGGCCACCCTATGAAATTGTTAAAACTGAAGATCTATCAAGCAACTTCCTGTCCTTGCAGGAAATCCAGACTGCATACTGTAAATTTAAGCAGCTATTTCTGATAGGTGAGAAGAAACTTTCTGTCAAATGGGGAAAGACATGCCACATGGATCAGGTGAAAGTTGATGCCTTTTCCCTGGGTTCCTTTTGATGGCATGCAGAGCTCCACAGCCTTGAGGGTCCCTGTCATGCAGTGGAAGGGTCCGGCCGCCCCTCTCCCCCTCTCCAAGCATCTCCCCCTGGCCTTCTCACTGTTGGAGTCATACAGCTGCTCTTCTCTCTTTCTCAGCTTCCCACACCACCCAGTGGTAAGCGTTTTAGTCTTGTAAGTTTGTGAACTATGAAGTTTGTATAGGCACTCACTTGGCAAATCATTTATAAAGAGAATGATTGATTTTTCCTTAATGGACTTTTTTTTCCAGTGTGGAAATATCTTTTCTTTTCTTTTTTTTTTTGGTCAGTTATGGAGCTTGAACTCTGGGCCTGGGCGTTGTCCCTCAGCTCTTCAGCTCAAGGCTAGTGCTCTACCACTTGAGCCACAGCGCCACTTCCCGTTTTCTGAGTGGTTTATTGGAGATAAAAAGTCTTGGACTTTCCTGCCTGGGCTAGCTTTGAACAGTGATCCTCAGAACTCAGCCTCCTGAGTAGCTAGGATTACAGGCATGAGCCACCAGCTCCGGGCTTGTTGCTCTGATTCTGCCTTGAATACCTTCCTAAATGGCTTGAATCACCCACCTCTGTGGAGCCTTTAAGATTTCCCTATATGGAATGTTGAGTTCTGTCTTCCCTAGATGGAAAAGTTCTGCTGGTACCTGAGCTTGTTCCTGGGTATGTCCATATAAGGTCTGGCATTTTGTCTTCATGGTGGGGGCGGGGGAGGGGGGCACAATGAAGTCCCCCCTCAGGTGATGGAACACACTTCAATCCCTGGAGGCTGGGGGACTTGGATGATAGGTTTCTAAACCTGTCAGTCCAGTACGTGGAACTGAGAGTTTCCTTTGGCCCTGCCCCGGGACCCTATTTAGGCCCAGACCAGGTCAGGCCCCACTACGCTATGCTATATGTCTCCATGTTTGTGACCTGTCTCCTGGCTTTTCTCTGTCACCATGGCATCCCATGGCTCTCCATTGGAGCTGCATTGGTTTGTTGGTATTGTTTTTGGTTTTGTTCTTTCTTTCGTCTTGGCCTTCATGGCTCAGTTTCCTAAGAGATCAGCTGGCTGCTGGTCTTTGAGACCGGAGTCCACCATGCAGTCAGCAGCCTTTTAATAACGACTCCGAGATCTCACCTATCAAAATGTGGCTTCTCTGTTTTCTCGCCTTACAACAGAACCATGATCCACTTGATCATAGCTTTCCAAGTAATTAGTAACACAGGTATGAACCACTGCATCTGGCTCACTGTTGTTTTTTTTGTTTTTCTTTCAGTACTTGGGGCTTTGATCAGCTGTTCTACCACTTCAGCCATTTCCAACCCAATTCTTATTCTTTTTTTTTTTTTTTTTTTTTTTGTGGGTCGTGGGGCTTGAACTCTGGGTCTGAGCGCTGTCCCTCAGCTCTTCAGCTCAAGGCTAGTGCTACAGCGCCACTTCCGGTTTTCTGTTGGTTTGTTGGAGATAAGAGGTTCACGGACTTTCTTGCCCAAGCTGGCTTTGAACTGCAATTCTCGGATCTCAGCCTCCTGAGTAGCTAGGATTACAGGCATGAGCCACTGGCACCTGGCTCCAATTCTTATTCTTGAATGAGTCTTTACTCTGTGAGGTTTTGTCATGCTTATAGGTAACTTTTTCCTAACTTGGATATTTTAGCCTAGTAAATTCTTAACTATTTTAGGGTTATTCAGCTGACATTTATTTAATTTCCCCTATATGTTATGTCAAGCATTACTGATAAAAAGGAATATGAAGCCAAGCACTGCTGACCCACACCTTTAATACTAACTACTTAAGAAGCTGAGATCTGAAAGAGTTTGAAGCCATCACGAGTAGGAAAGTACACTAGACTCCATCTCCAAAATAACCAGCTAAAAGTTGGGCTGAAGGCATGCCGCTAGAGTAGAGTGCCAGCTAAACAATCAACCTGGGCAAGTTCAGGGTCCTAAATTCAAACCCCGGTACTGGTAGGGGGAATAAAAGTGAATGTAACACAAAAAAAAAACAACTACGCTCTTGTAAGGGAAACAAGCATTAAAGTGAGGGGAACAGAGTCTAAGTAATGTAACCTTGTTCTCACAGACATCCTGGTGCCTCTTGCTGGGTGGAGGGAGCTCTCCACCCAGTGCTGAAAAGCCTAGCAGTGAGAGAGGCCATTCATTGAATTGCAGACCTAACTGGTGAGCTGGGAGAGCTCTGCTTCGGAATGTCAGAGCCTTAGGAAAGCTTTGCGTAGAGAATGCTCCGATTCTGCTTTGATTGCCTCTCTAAATGGCTTGAATCACCCAATTTTGAGTAGCCTTTAAGATTTCCCCTATATGGGAAAGTTAAGGTGTATCTTCCCTTGATGGAAAAGTTCTGCTGGTACCTGAGCTTGTACCTGAGTATGTCCATATAAGGTCTGCTTTTGTAATGCTTGCTCTTCAGCTCAAGCATATGGTTTTTGTCTTTAAAGTCTTTTGGCCTGTAATCCTAGCTACTCAGTAGGCTGAGATTTTAGGATTGTGGTTTAAAGCCAGTCTAGGCAGGAAAGTTCATGAGACCTTTTATCTCCAATTATCTACCCCAGAAAACCGGAAGTGACGCTGTGGTTCAAGTGTTAGAATTCTAGCCTTGAGCTGAAGAGCTGAGGGACAGCACCCAGGCCCAGAGTTCAAGCCCCAGGACACACACACACACACACACACACACACACACACACACACACACACACACACACACACACACACACACACACACACACACACACACACACACACACACACACACACACACACACACACACACACACACACACACACACACACACACACACACACACACACACACACACACACACGGCTTTGTGTAAGCTCTGTTCAGGGCTGCTGGTCTTTGAGATGATAGTCTACCATGCAGAGCTTTCCAGTAAAGATTCCCATTTTCACCTCTCAAAAATGTGGTTCTCTAAATCTCACAGACTGGATTTACCCTGCAACAGCATATGCCTATAAAAATGTTGGGATGGTTACTATAAGAAAGATCAGTAAGAAATAGGAACCCGGTGGGGCTGGGAAGGTGGCTCAGTGATAGAGTGCTTGCCTTACATGCATGAGGTCCTGGGTTTGATTCCTCAGCACCACATAAGTAGAAAAAGCCAGAAGTGGCACTGTGGCTCAAGTTGTAGAGCACTAGCCTTGAGCTGAAGAGCTGAGAGACAGCGCCCAGGCCCAGAGTTCAGGCCCCATGACCAACCTAAAAAAAAAGAAAGAAATAGGAACCTGGAGAAAAGATAATCTTAGTATTTGATCCAAGATGGTGATTTTAGAATTGTGTTTTATTTTAATCACCCAAGATTCCCTGGTATCTTTTGTTGATCTGAATTATTGTTATTGTTATTATTTTGAGATGAGGTCTTGCTATATTACCACATTGGTCTCAAACTCCTGGGCTCAAGTGATCCTCCTACTTTATCTTCCCAAGTAGCTTAGACTACATGTGTGCACTACTCTACTTAACTGGTTTGAAACTTTTCTTCCTTCCTTCCTTCCTTCCTTCCTTCCTTCCTTCCTTCCTTCCTTCCTTCCTTCCTTCCTTCCTTCCTTCCTTCCTTCCTTTCTTCCTTTCTTTCTTTCTTTCTTCTTTTTTTTTTTGTTGGTCGTGGGGCTTGAACTCTGGGCCTAGGTGCTCTCCCTCAGCCCTTTAGCTCAAGGCTAGTGCTCCATGACTTCAGCCACAGTGCCACTTCCAGTTTTCTGGTGGTTTTATTGGAGATGAGTCTCACAGACTTTCTTGCCTGGGCTTGAACTGCGATCCTCAGATCTCAGCCTTCTGAGTAGCTAAGATTACAGACATGAGCCACTGGTGCCTGGCTTGGTTGGAAACTTTTAAATTAATACTTTGTAAAATTCAAGAGTTTCTGGGGGGTTTTTGTTTTGGGTTTTGGGTTTTTTTGTCGGTCATGGGGCTTAAATTCTGGGCCTGGGTGCTGTCCCTCAGCTCTTCAGTTCAAGGCTAGCGCTCTACCACTCGAGCTACAGTGCCACTTCCAGTTTTCTGGTAGTTTTTATTGGCAATAAGAGTCTCACGGCCTTTCCTGCCCGGGCTGGCTTTGAACCGTGATCCTCAGATCTCAGCCTCCTGAGTAGCTAGGATTACAGGTGTGAGCCACCGGCGCCCGGCTGAGTTTCTGTTTTATAAGGGATATAAAGAGGAAATTATACTCATATGCAAGTTACATGAACTCATATTCAAACTTCTACAAAGCCAGGTGTGATGACTCACACCTCTTAAGTTGGAGGACATCCTAGGCTTATATACACAGACTTTGTTTCACACCTTTAATCCTAGGTACTCAGGAGGTAGAGATTGGGAGGATCACAGTTTGTAGGCCAGCCTGGACAAAAGTTACCAAGACCTCATCTCAATAATAAAAAGCTTATGGGGGGGAGGGTATACCTGTCGTCCCAGCTGTACAGGAAGTCTAAGTAGAAAGATCATGATCTAAGCTGGCGCTGGTGGCTCACACCTGTAATCCTAGCTACTCAAGAGGCTGAGATCTGAGGATCATGGTTCAAAGACAGCCTGTTCAGGAAAGTCCATGAGACTCTTATCTCCAACAAACCACTCGAAAAAAAACGGAAGTGGTGCTGTGGCTCAAGCAGTAGAGTGCTTGCCTTGAGCTGAAGAGCATAATGACAGTGCCCAGGCCAGAGTTCAAGCCCCACGACTGACCAAAAAAAAAAAAGAAAGATCATGATCTAGGCCAGTCTGGACATAAATACAAGAAGCTATTTGAAAAACAAGTAAAAGCAAACAAGAACTGGAGATGTGGTTCAAGTGGCAGAGTGCCTTCCTAGTAGGTATAAGGCCCTGAGTTCAGATCCCAAGACTACCAAAAAACAAGAGTCTAGGCTTTGGTGGCATAGTCCCTGGTTGCCTATTTCCTGTCTAGCAATAGCAGTCTTGATGTTGATGGTTTTCTTCCTAAAACATGTTGAATTACACGGTAGACCATGGCTAGGCATCTCTTCTTTCAGTAACAAAGACCTCTTTGACTGCTATACCCTTCCAGAGACCTACAGTTCCAAAACTATTTCAGTGCGAGTTGAAGTTTTAAAATGCTCTTTGCTTAAAATGATGAAGTGTTGTGCCTGGCTTCTGCAGGTTGAGGCTGTGTCTGATCTGCACTGCACAGGGGAGTATCATGAGTGTTTTTTTGAAAGGGTGTCAGTAAACAATGACCTGATGTCTTTTTTTCTTTTTCAGATAACAGTACTGAATTCTGGGACACAGATATAAAATGGTTTTCTCTCCTAGAAAGTAGCAGCTGGCTTGATATCATCAGGTATTTATTTCAAACCATTGTTTTGCTCATGAATTTTACAGTGTTTCATTTGAGTAGAGCAAATTTACACATAGTTGATGTTTCAGAGTGGAATATTCTTTTGTTTGTTGAAGGACATAAAAGATGACAAGAGTACACTGAGAGTCATTCATGGTTCTGGATGACAGGAATCAGTGTTATGGCAATGTCCACCAAATTCTTAAATGTCTCATTTTCCTTTTGTTGTTGTTGCCAGTACTGGGGCTTGGATTCAGGGACTTACGCTTTGGGCTAGCATTCTACTACCTAGGTTACACCTCCACTTCTATCCATTTTCTTTTTAAGAATTTCTTCTATATCTTTCTTGACTACTTGTTTTCTGCTACCTATTAATTGTTTTTTCTGAGAATCTTTAACATCTTGTATGAAATTCTCCATAGTTAAGTATTCTTAGATCATATTTCTACTCGGAGCCCAGCTAGATTATACATTTGCTATTTATTGTTTCTTTGCATATTTGGTAGGAATTTACCAGCATACTACCTGTTTATAAGGAAATGTACTCTGTAGATAAGACATTTCAAGACTAAAATATCAGATTTAACAACTCCAGCCTGTGACTGAGGCAGCTATGCTGGCCTCCCGGTGGAAACAGGATGAACTAGGAGATTGATTTTTCACTAAATACCTTTCTTAAATTTTGTGCCTTATATGTATGCGAGCACATATGTATGGCAGATTCAGTTTCTAATAGGTAAAATAGTGTCTCTCATGGGCTGGAAATGTAGCTTAGTGGTAGAGTGCTTGCGTAGCATGCATGAAGCCCTGGGTTCGATTCCTCAGTACCACATAAATAAAAAAGGCCGGAAGTAGCACTGTAGTTCAAGTGGTAGAGCTCTAACCTTGAACAGAGAGGCTCAGGGACAGAGCCCAGGCCCTGAGTTCAAGCCCCAGGACTGGCAAAAAGAAAAAGAAAAGATAGTGTCTCTCAGAATCTGAATAGTGTAAGTGGTGATTATTTTCTCTTCTGGAGGATTTTAGCATAAAAAAATATAAGAGGAAAACTACCTCTGGTAGTACTAAGCCCACAAACTAATGCTCCTGTTTCTTGCCTTTTTTCTGTTCAGACGTTGCCTGAAGAAAGCAATAGAGATTACAGAATGTCTGGAAGCACAAAACATGAACGTTCTTCTTTTAGGTAATATATTTAAAACACAAAGCATGAGTTCCATTTTCCTTCACTTCAGATTCAGTTTTTGTACATGTAACTTACTGGAAGTGGACTTGTGGTATAAATGGAACAAATGAGTATGAAAATCTTCTCCATTCCTTTCTCCTCAGCCTTGGAATCCCTTGCCTTGGATTTCAGTATTACAGTTTAAAATAAAATTCTTTCTCTTGGAACTTGGCAGTGCTATCACACCCCAAGAAGGAGTTGTTTGGTATCTTTAGCAAAGCTCACATTTCTTTTTTGGTTTTTTGGTTTTTTACTTTTAAAGTGGAAACTGTAAGCATCTTATCTTACTGTTAATGCAAGCATTAATGCCAGAAATGTGAAGGTAATATTGCAAACTCAGAATTTTTATAAATTCATGAAATTTCCATTTTCCAATTTATACAGTTTTATATCATACTACTTCTCATGCGTTTTTCTGCAGTTACTCTGTATGGCTTCTTTGGGATAATTTAAGCCATCCTAACGCACAAAGTTTGCATTTCTTAATGCTTGGGGTTTGGGGGATTGTTTTGGTTTTTAATGATATTGAGATTAAACGCAGGGCTTCACAGACTCTTAAACTCTAAGGTAGCTGGGCAGAGGAAGACTTGAGTTTGAGGTCCACCTGGGCAAAGTTAGCAAGATCCTGTGCTGGGGAAAAAAGGGGGAGGGAAGGAGGGAAAGAGGAAGGAAAATAGGTATGTGGCTCAAGAAGCTATGGATCCAATCCCTAGTACCACAAAACAAATAACTTAAAAGACAAATATATGGCTGTAGGTGTATTATTTTCACTGAGTCCTGAGTGTTAAATAAGTATATGAATGGGCTTTTACCATGGGGATTTTGTGAAGTGCATTCTAGGTGGGCACATAAAAGCAGACCAAGGAGAATTTCTCCTCTAGACCAGTCAAGGAAAAGCAGGTACATCCATGCTCCTCAAACAAAAAAGGAAGGAGCTTTCTAGCTTTAAAATGTGATCATAGCTTGCGCCGGTGGCTCATGCCTGTAATCCTAGCTACTTGGGAGGCTGAGATCTAAGGATCGTGGCTCAAAGCCAGCCTGGACAGGAAAGTTCATGAGACTCTTATCTCCAATTAACCACCAGAAAATCGGAGTGGCACTGTGGCTCAAGTAGTAGAGTGCTAGCCTTGAGCTAGTATAGGATTAGGAGTGGAGCTCATAGGTGTGAGAAGTAACTGAGCCTTGGAACAGTGGGTGCAATGTGAGGCTTGAATTCAGGAGGCAGGAATTTTCACTTGCTTAGAAGCTGCCGGGTTGTCCTGTCATGATTTCACTCTTGTATGGCACATCTGGATGTCCATGGACAAAAGTGGATTTCCAGTACTTCACTTACTCAGTGAGCATATCCATACTGAGCACCGTCATATGCCAGAACCTGCCCTAGATAGCAGTGTGTCCGACTCTGAAAGCTCGCTTTGTGTTCCACTGGTCCCTGCTGTAGAGAATAAGAGCTTTTAGTAGTGGATCTTAGTGTTGGGAACCTACTGTAACCTATGCATGTGAGATCACTACAGCTTTAATACTTTCTGCCCTCCTTCCTCTTGGCATTGCTAATGGGCCCTCCCAGAGGAGAACGCCTCCGACCTCTGCTGCCTCCTTTCCTCTCTGGTACAAGTGATGATGGATCCCCACTGTCGTACCAGGACTGGTTTCCAGAGCCTTGTACAAAAGGAGTGGGTCATGGGTGGCCACTGTTTCTTGGATCGTTGCAACCATCTCCGCCAGAATGACAAAGAAGAGGTGAGTTTCCTCAGGGCAGACTGCCTAGTCTCAGTACCAGTCCTCAGATATGGGATTTCTGTTTGCATTGTGCTGGTTGCAATGAGTGCAAATGAGTGTGACTCATTTGAGTTTGATTTCAAATGCTTTAAGTAGTATTGAAACCTTTCCTGGGGGGACAAAGGTATTATAACAAGTATGTTCACAGTCTTCTAAGTTACATCACTGAAGGTATGCATATATTTCGTTGTGGAAGTAGTGTTGGTTTTGTGCCACTTAAATGTAAAGTAACCCAGTGTGTTGTAGACAGATTCCAACACATTCTGCAAATTAAACTTTGCAATAAGTAGATAGTCAGTGATGTGCGGGACTGTACCACAGCCTCTTCTGGGTCTTGCTACATTGCCCAGGCTGACCTTGAGCTCAAAGTCTTCCTGCTTCCCAAGTAGCTGGGATTACAGAGAGGTGCCACCATGCCTAGCTTCCTTTTGTCTAAGTAAATGGCTTTAGACCTGGGCCTCTATGGTTAGGCTAGAGATTCAGCATTCTAGTTCACCTCTAGATGGTGTATTTGGCAGCTATGTTAACTCCCTTAGCTACTTCACTGGTGACTGGTAGAAGGAAAATGAAAGTAGACCTACTATTAGTGCAACTTGTGTTATTTATTTCACAGAATCAGCATATTTTATCTATGGTGCAGAACAGCTTGGCACAATTATCATGAGAATAAAGAGCTGTGATCTCTGCCCTTCAGGGATTGATAGATTCCTGTTTGTAGGCCTAATCTGTACTCCTCTGTGTGCCACTGAGCTGTAGAGAACTCGCTGTTTCTATGCTTGGAAAGGATTTAGAAGACTAATTTAAAAAGTGATGAGATTCATGAAGTATGATAAGCTGAAAGAGATGACATTGTATGGAGAGGGGTATGATTTTGCCTATCTAGAGAAAAGCACTGGATCCAGTGGGAAAAGAAGCCAAGAGAAGCTTGATTTGTTTACCCAGACCTCGGAAGATCTCTCCTGTTTCTAACCCATTTCCCTGACTGTACAGTTAGGTCCACACATTGTATGTTCTATTAATGATATACAAGGTATGAAGTAGAGTTGCAAAATGAATGATTCTTAGCATCTCAGCACTGACATACAAAAATTTGAAAAGAAGGGTTGGAGGGATGGCTCAGTTGGTAGAGCACCAGCCAGTGAGCAAAAGCATCAGGTATTGACTGAGTCTCAGTCTCAGACTTAAAAAAGAGTTTTAAAGGAAAACTTGGTACTCTGATTTGTTATTTAATGGAGCAACACTGGTCTTCTATCCAAGAACTTGAATTCTCAACTCCTCTGTCTTACCAGCTTCACCAACAAACCTCAGCTTCCCCAATCTTCTCAAGGGACACATGGTAGGATCATTGAGAATGGGGGGAGAAGGATAAGCACTTCATAAATGATAACATACCCTAAAACCACTGTCTCTGATAATAAAGGGCTTGCCTCGGTTGCTAATAAATGTTAAAAAATTGTGAAAACATGCTAGGAACTTATTCTTGCTGCTTCTGCCTTCTTTCCCTCCTCTGTCTTTGGGACCCTCACTGGGAAGGACAAGTGGTAAAGAAGGGAAGCTTCTGACCCTTATTCTGTTAGTTAGCACGTGGGTAGGCAGTAGCATAACTGCCCCCTCCAGACACGCGCGCACACACACACACACTATTGACAATATTTAAAATAATCATCACTAAGTAGTTGTTTACAGTTTATCACTATTGATAAGAATAGAATCCTTTTTTTGGGGGGGGGTCCGGTCATGGGGTCTGAACTCTGGGCCTGGGCGCTGTCCCTCAGCTCTTTAGCTCAAGGCTAGCGCTCTACCACTTGAGTAACCGTGCTACTTCCGGCTTTTTTCTTTTTGCTTATGTGGTGCTGAGGAATCAAACCGAGGGCCTTATGCATGCAAGGCAAGCGCTCTACCACTGAGCCACCTTCCCAGCCCCAAGAATAGAATCTTTTGGGGGGAGACATCTCTTCTAATTGGGGTTTCAAAGTTACTGTTCTCTGTCATTGAAATCAATTATAAATGCTCACCTGTGAATGTTGATCCGTAAGAAATTTTACTTCATTTTGGCAATGTCTTTGACACAGATTAGTACTCCTAGTTACTGATGTTAATCTATGAGCATGTGGCTTCAATTGAGCATTTTTCATTCATCTGTTTATCACTTGGAATGAGATTGAGTTGTGTGCTTCCCAGAGAAGGAAGGGCTCAGGAGTGGCCACACCACAGTTCTTGAGCTGGCCGTCCACTGTGCTCAGGCAGCTTACATTGGATGCAGTGCCTTCTGAATAACACGGATCTTGTTTTCACGTAGGTTCCTGTGTTCCTGCTTTTCTTAGATTGTGTCTGGCAGCTGGTACACCAGCATACCCCAGCATTTGAATTCACCGAGACTTATCTGACCGTCTTGTCAGATAGCCTGTATATACCTATTTTTAGCACCTTCTTCTTCAATTCACCTCATCAAAAAGACACTAACATGGTAAGAATCCCTCCTAGAAACCTGTGTGCCAAACACTGCATCTCACAAACAGTATGATGACACCGATGCTAAATGTGACATTTGTTTAACGTCGATTATATACCTGGCATTATTTTAGATGCTTTCCTTGTATTCATATCTGTAAAAGTTTTTAGCCCTTACAGCACCCTCTGGGATGTGTATTATCTCTGAGGAAGGTAAGATACAAAGCCTGACTATCCAGGCCAACAGTAAATATTTGATCTGGAAAGTATTAGGGTTGGGAGATTGTGCCAACTTAAAAGTTATCCTTTTGGAAGATAGACGAGCTGTCTTCTCTCTCCATTAGCTTGATGCCTGGAGTTACTCTGTGATGAGAATGGACTGTCAGCAGGACTGGAAGCCAGACTTTGACTAGGCTTCTAAGGCCTTTTAGTCCCTCCAGAACCTCTTTTGCAGGGAATAAACTTGGAAGTTGAGCTTAGTGCCTCCCACCAGCCTTCTCCTGGCCTAAGGACTTGCTTGAATTGATAAGATTCCCAAGTCTCACAGTGAAGTGGGAACAACTGAACTTGGGCTTTCAGACTCCAGCCCTGCAGCTCATCAGATTCATGACCTTAAGCAGATCACTTCTGTTTTCTGGGCCTCAGTTTCCTCTCGTATAAATTTGGAAAACATAGTGTTCACCTCACAAGCTTGTGAAAATGTTCGGCCCACTGGCTGACTTGTGGTCCATTGAAAATAAGCATCGTTTCCCCTTGTCCCTTCCCCCATGAAGACTGTTGGTGAATAACCATTGGTAGCCCCAGCCTTAGAAAATGAAGTGCCAGGGAGCATTCATCTTAAGCAGAGCAGGAGCACATTCCTGGTGCCTGTTTCTGAGAATATGTGTTTGCTTTCCCCAGCCCTCCCTGGAAGCCATGGTGACCTGTGCTTGTTTTGGCAGGGTAGGGAAAGCTTGGATACACAAAGCAAGCCTTTGAATCTGCTCACCGTGTGGGATTGGTCTGTACAGTTTGAACCCAAAGCCCAGACATTGCTTAGAAACCCTCTCTATGCAGAAAAGCCAAAGCCGGACAAAGGCCCACGGAAAGGAATGCGTTTCAAAGTAAGATGTCTAACGTCTAACCCCATTTCATCTTCCCCATCACCTGACTCCATGTGTATAAAGATAAAACGTTCCTTATGGGTTTTGTCAGTCAATGTATATTCTACCCTTTGAAATGGTGTGAAGTCATGATTGATTGATGATGGTCAAGTTGTGGTCCATTAGAAGAACTTTGAGAAAATCAGCCTTTGCCCTGAGGAGAGGTGATTGCTGATTGGCTATGAGGATACTGCTGTCATCCTGCTTCATAGTCTTTTGCTTCTGACCCAACCTTGTGGGTACTTAGCAGAATAAAGGGAGCAGTGATCTAGTAGGGTTTACTCAATATATGCCAGTTCGTGTATTATACAGTAAGACTTTTCTTAAACCTATAATCCAGGAGTTGGCAAGCTTCTGTGAAAGGCCATCTAGCCTCTTACAACTATACACTCTACTGTTGTGGCACAAAAATGGCCTTGGGCAGAATGCAGACACAGCTGTCTGTGTTCCATTTTTACAAATAGGTGCTGTGCTGCATTTGGCCATAAGCCAACCCATGCTCTAAGCCACAAATATCAAATCTTGATTTTTTTTTCCTGTTGTTTGTTGTTGTTAATTTTTGGTGATCCTAGGATTAAAACTCAGGACCTTAGACTTTTCAGCTCGCTTCCTCAGCTGCTGTTCTGCTACCTGAGCCATACTTCTAGCCCTGCTTTTTTGCTGGTTGAGATGGAGTCTCAGGCTTTTCTGCCTGGACTAGCTCCAAACTACAGTCCTCCAGATCTCAGCCTCCTGAGTAGTAAAGATTACAGTGTGGGCCCCAGCTACAAATATCAACTATTTGTTTTTCTTGCAGGTATTTGTTCCTGATTGTACGTCAAAGTGCCCTAACTGATCAATTTCTTAAGCAGCATTTTTCTAGCTCTGTCTCCTGGCCTGGAATTTCTCACGAGTAGAGACCACAAAGGCAGGTCTCAAAGGGGGGGTCACGAGTGAATGTCACCATCTTCTCTATCATTGTGCTTCCCATCCTGCTCCAGGGAGGGACTGCAGGGAGCCCAGTCAGCTCTGGTGTGGGAGGTCGTTCTGTTCTAAGGAACAACCTACACGAGCCGAAGTCGAGCAATGCCTTTGTCATTGTCACTGCCAGTGATGACAAAGAACTCAGAACTGCTGCTTCACGAAGTCTTAGCTGTCGTCCCCACACTGGCTGTTCCTTCCTTGGGTTCAGTTTCCTTTCTGTTAGTTTGACCAGCACTGCTGAGCCCTGGAGCAAGTTGGACAGAGCTCAACTCTTCAGCAGGGTGTTGTGCCCCCTGGTGGCTACCTGCACGCTTCTCAAAAAGGGGTGGGCTGGGACTACAGAACTGCTTGGTACCTGTGGGGCCAGGGACCTCCAGGACAGCTAGGCCTTCCCCTTATTTGATGGGAGGGAACTAACAATCTACCTTCTTAGAACGGATTTCTTGGGCTGGGAAAGTGGCTCAGTGGTAGAGCGCTTGCCTTGCATGCCTGAGGCCCTGGGTTCGATTCTTCAGCACCACATAAACAAAAAACAAAAAAACGGGTTTCTCTACTCAGTCCATTTTTCTAGTTGTCCTTCTTAAAGATAGGGGCAGATGCTGACAGCTAAAGTGCTGGAAATTTTCAGGTTGAGTAAATAAAGCAGAGTTGGATCTGGGCAACAAAGCACTTGAAACCTTGGTAAGAAAATTAAGTGAGCTTGGCATCTTGCTGAGTGGACATAGCCCTGGAGAATTTCTTCAGAGACTGAGCAGCTTGAACTGCAGCTCCCTGAAATGCCACCGGGGAGTAGCGTTCACTCAGGTGTGCAGTGGTGTCTCAGCGGTGGCCCCAGGCCTCAGCCTGGCCCACCGTGATCCATCTCAGATATCCCATTCACCTAGGAGATTAGGAGTTGAGGGCTTCTAACACCAATAGAATAGAGTTCAGCTAAGAGCTCAGGCTCTGAAGCCAGGCTGTGCTCAAAATTGTCATTGACACTTGGTGGCTGGTGCCCTTGGCAGATTATTTAACCGCTGAGCCTAGTTTCCTCATTTGTGAAATGGGGCAATAAGAGAGATGTTGTAGAGTTTTGTAGGTCAATATATGTAAAGCACTGAGCGCATCACCCAGCAGGCAGTGAGCTCTCGTGAGAGTTGGGTTTCCCAAGTGTTCTCTAATCCCACCTATCCCATCTTGATCATTGTGGAGGGGAGAAGCCACTGGCCCCTGGCCTGCCATCTTTCCTGACCCTGGGCAGAAAGTCCAAAGCCCTGAATTGTATTACTTTCTTTCTGATTTATAGCTATCCTGTATTCCATTACATATTTCTATTATAAAAAATTTACTGGCAGAAATATGTTAGAAAATGATAGAACTAGCTTGGAAATCATTGTTTTAGTCTTACTTTAAATGGACCTCTTATGAGAACAGGAGTCGGGAGATGCATCTCCTCCTCACCTGTCCCACCAGCTCCTTTGGTCAGGGGATCCCACGCCTGCTAACCCATCTTCCAAGGCCTCTCACTGTGGCCTCCAAAATACAGCACCTTGCTTTGCTACAGAGAGAATTACCAAAGAGTAAAAAAATTAAATGCTCCCACAGTTTCTACTACATACAGATTGTCAGATAAGAGTATCTGGCCTAAGGGCTGGGAATGTGGCTTGGTGGTAGAGTGCTTGCCTAGCATGCATGAAGTCCTGGGTTCCATTGCTCAGTACCATATAAACAGAAAAAGCCAAAAGTGACACTGGCTCAAGTGGTAGAGTGCTAGCCTTGCGCAAAAGAAGCTCAGGGACAGTGCCTAAGCCCTGAGTTCAAGCCTAGAACTGGCAAAAAAAGAAAAAAAAAATGTCTGGCTAATTTAGCTGATTCATTTAAAATTCCTTTGCTTCCACCTGCTTGTTTTCCTTGCCCCAAAGAATCTTTATTACTTAGACTTAAACTCTTACTGAATGCCAGGTGAGCTATTAAGTTATTTGATTCACATGCTAGGATTTCCAGGCAGCCAGAGTTGCCTCCCTGCAGGTGTTCAGAATGTTGCAGCAGTTGACTGCCCTAAAGAAACACGGTTCTGTTTGTAAATGTGAACAGGCATTTTCCCCAAACTCTCAAATCATTGATCTATCTTAAGCCAGTGTGTCCTTTGTAATCCTTTTCTCAGCAGAGGATCAGTAGCTCCACTTTTGCTGTCCCGGCATACCTTTCTGCATGGCTGCCCCATGGTCCTGGTTTTCCCCCATTATGTGCAGTGTGCATCAAGCATGAACATAATGAGAATTAATATGTACCTTTTCCTTTCTGTGTCCCACAGCAGTTAATGAATATGTATTTACATGAAAGTTCTAAAGTCTTCTTGATTCCTACTAAACCAGATTACGCCCTTTAAAACAAAATGGTAACAACAATAGCCATGTCTCTGTGTTAACCACAAGTTCTTTTTTTGTGTTTTCTCTCAAAGCATCAACGACAACTTTCTTTGCCACTTACCCAGTCTAAATCATCTCCCAAAAGAGGATTTTTCAGGGAAGAGACAGATCACTTAATTAAAAACCTTCTGGGCAAGAGGATTAGTAAACTTATTAATTCTTCTGATGAGCTGCAAGACAACTTTCGAGAGTTCTATGACAGCTGGCACAGCAAGCCCACTGACTACCATGGTTTGTTGTTGCCTCATATCGAGGGACCAGAAATCAGAGTCTGGGCTCAGCGCTACTTGCGTTGGATTCCAGAAGCCCAAATCCTAGGTGGTGGCAGAATGGCCGTTATGAGCAGACTCTTGGAAATGATGGAGGAAGTCCAGGACTTACAGGAGAAAATCAACGAGAGACATCCGAGCCAGGCAGCCCTCCATGCAGAGACGCGGCATGCGGAGGCCTCCTGCCTGCTGAGGAACTCTGCCCGCCTGTCCTCCTTGTTTCCTTTCGCTCTGCTCCAGCGGCATTCATCCAAGCCTGTCTTACCCACCAGTGGCTGGAAAGCTTTGGAAGATGAAGAAGATCTGGCCAAACGAGAAGATGAGTTTGTAGATCTTGGGGATGTATGATTGTATGTTCAGTGGTTGTGAAGGTAGGCTCGGACTGTTGATCCTGGGACTTCTATCACGCAAATGCTGAGAGTCAGCCCAGTGCTCTGATGGAGAACACCTGGGCCTTTAGGAAAAGAACTGGTCAGTATTTCACAGTTCTGAAAGACTGCAATTTCTATAGTGTTACTAATTGGAAGGGATCTCTACTTGACCTGTCATAGGATTATGGCCAATTTCACAGAACCTGGAATGGCTGGTTTATTACTGGAAAAAGCTTCAGTAAGATATTCTTGGGCTTGATATTTTCTTCTGATCCTTTCTGTGCCAAGATAATATAATTAAACATCGAGAATATAAGTTTCTGTATAACCGTCTCAGTCAGGAACAAGGTCAGCTTTATGTGGCATTTGAATGAAGTGAAATATAGAAATAGACATATTTACTTAAACCCTAGCATTTTCCCTTTCTGTTCCCTTCTCTATAGGAAAACTAGGAAATGCCACTGATGTGGCTCATGCTAACACTCAGCCCCTCCTCCCTCCTTCCTGGATTGTTATGGCGATATGGGGCTGGGAGTGGAGGGGTAGAGTGTGGACTAGCCAACCACTTGCCCTTTGTTCTGTGCTGACAGCTCTGGGTCTTTCCTCTTCCTGCTCTGTGCACCTTGGCTCACATAGCCGAGTGTCTTGCTGCTAAGCCAGCATTTATACTGGGGGGGGGGGGGGGGGTGAGGAGGAAGGAGATCTTTGTTTGACCACAGGAGCTTCTAATCCTCTGGAGAACAGTGTTTGAACAACTTGCTGAGGACTAGAACACCTCTGTGCTGTCTGCAGCCCTTAGTCTTTTCCCGTTCCCTTCACAGAAGCTGGAGTGGGTCCCATTTGAATGTGGCTTTCGTAGGAAAGCAGTTAAGCGTACATGTCTGAAGTGGTGATTATCACAGGATACCTCAGTGATTTCAAAAGCCATAGAAGAAACTCGACTATGCCTGGTCACCTTCCTCGATCTGCTGTCTAAATGATATATATTTTTTTAATGTGTGAAAGTATACTTTTTAAGGACCAGTATTTTCATTCTCAATAGAGCCCTGCCAAATCCTGCAAAAGAAAGTTTAAAAAAATCATATTAGAATGTTTTAAAATGAATGTTTGCCTTTTGTATGTATTTGCTGTCCAGGAAAAATCCCAACTTGAATGTTAATTATTTAGAAAAACTCTCAGTTGCTCAAGAGCAGTAAAAAATCTTGAAACTATTCACAAAGAGTTTCTGATTTGCACTGAACTGTCTTTTGTACATACAATCATTTTGCTCTTCTTCTCTGCACGAGTGCAGAGTGAGGCCTGTAGGCTATTGAGATGGCAGGTTGTGGGGAGGGCAGGCTTCCTGCTCAATCTTGCTTGCCTTAAGATAAGGTCTTACAGGCCGGGTCCACGTTAGGCTTGCCACGGGAGTTTAAAGTGTGCTATTTCCTTAGCTACCTTCACATGTACTCTGTGAGCCTTCTTAGCCAGCACTAACCTCTACTTTGCCACCCCATTGCCTCCCAAATACCCTATGGGCCTAACTATTTTGTTACTATTATAACATGAATATTTATATTATCGTCTCTCCAGTCTTACCAATTTCCATTCCAAAAGTTTTTAGTGTGATGCCTTACACTCCATACAGTGTAGTTTAAAGGCACAAGGTCCTGGCTTTTATCATAGCAGTTGAATGTGCATTGAAATATTTTTCTATAATTTTTTAAAATTCACAATAGGAAAATAAGCAAGCTATTGTAGCACGCAAGGTCATGACTATGTATTTATATTTGAAATGAGATTTCTATAACTTGTATTTGTGTACAGAATTCTCAGTGAGTTTATATATTGTGAAATTTTCATTCCAGATTGAGATGTGGACATGCTTAATAGTAAAAGCTGAAATGAGACCATTTACTTGGTTTAAAATGCTGCACTGTGCAAGTTTGGAAATGTACAATAATAACTTACTGTATATAATATCTTAAGTTTGCTTATACCTCCAAGTTTTTACACTGAAGATAAACTAGCTTTAATCAAATTCAATTTTTTAAAGGGAATAAGCTGTTGGGCAAGATCTGTACAAATGTGCTTTTATGTTCTGATGTATAATGAAGTTTATACTTGTATCTCACTGCGTCGTATCTGATTGCAGAGATTAAAGCACAACTTACAAGCAATACTGTATTTGGTGTAATTGGACCATCATGGAATCATCCCCTCCATTCACTTCAGGAAGTGTTGAGCTGTGCCAGGCCCTGTAAGCCCTATTGCAGATAGAAACCCCGGAGACCACGTTCTGCTCTCCTGGCGTTTGGATGCTTGCCTGTGTGCGAGTGCATGTGTGGGGTCAATACGTGACAGCAAATCGATAGCCAAACAAAATACATGTTGAGTGGTGACAAATGGTATTAGGAAAAAGATATCAGGATTAAGAGGCTTACGGGATAACTAAGAGAAAGGAGGTTTTTTAACCCCTCCTGTTAAATATCACAGCTAGTTTTTTGGGGGAAATCTATATAACATAATGCAACAGAAAAGGCTTTGTAGCCAGGCACCGGTGGCTCCTGCCTATAATCCTACATCGTTAGGAGGATGTGATCTGAGGATCGCAGTTCAAAGCCAGCCTGGGCAGGGAAGTCTGTGAGACTCCTATCTCCAACAAACCACCAGAAAACCGGAAGTGGTGCTGTGGTTCAAGTGGTAGAGCACTTGCCTTGAGTTAAAGAGCTGAGGTACAGCACCCAGGCCCAGAGTTCAAATCTTACCACCAGCAAAAAAAAAAAAAAAAAGCTTTGTTTTTTCTTCCAGAGGAACAATAGAGCTGGCACAGACTGAGTTGGTTTAGTTCTTAATTAGACTTAGGTTTGTTGTAAGCAGTTCCCTTTCTCTGACCTTTCTACCTGCAGCACAGGCTTCCTGGGCCTTTGCCTTTCCACCCTGTGTCACCTTCCCTGTCTCCACAAGTCCTCTTCCAATATCCCAGGCGTAGCCTGGGATGACCCTGGCATTAACGCGCCCTCATTGCTACCATGGTCCTTTCACACTTGTGGTTCTTTCGTGTTTGTAATAAATTTGTTTAAGTATTTGTAACTCTGGAGTTTAGCAACTTCTAGCCTTCTCATGTGCGCTTGGTTAGCTCCTGGACTTTGGTGGACTGTGGCCAGTGACTCTTCTTTTGTGTGTACCTGAATTAAGAGTGAGAGCATGGGGACTCCTAGTGAGGGAGGAGAGTGAGACATTTTCCCTCTAGTGTGCGGCAGGATGGTGGTTGATGCCTGTTGAGAATGGGCCGAACCCTTCCTGTCACCTACTGTCCCTGGAGGGAGACGGGGCAGCAGCAGGGCCTTGTTTTCTGAGCCCCTCATGTAGTTGTGGTCTTTTGCTCTCCAGGGCAATGCTCAAGAATTATTTATCAGGGCTGGGAAGGTGGTTCAGTGGTAGAGTGCTTGCCTTGCATGCATGAGGCCTCGGTTTGATTCTTCAACACCACAGAAGCAGAAAAAGCCAGCAGTGGTGCTGTGGCTGAAGTGGTAGAGCATAGCCTTGAGCTGAAGAGCTGAGGGAGAGTGACCAGGCCCAGAGCTCAGGCCCCACGACCAACTCCCTCCCCCCCAAAAAAATTACTTATATAGCTGTCTCTGGAGCACAGCATATCGAGTCTAAACATCCAGGACAGCCGCAGAATCTGTAGTTGACTCATGGCCTCCTTGTGCTGACGTATGTCCTTCCAACAACTTCCTCCCCAACACACACACACACACACACACACCCTCTACGAAACCCTAAGAAAGTATCAGGATGGAGTGGGATTGGCAGTTCCAGTTGTGCCGTGGATTCCACTGCAACAGGGCTGTGGCCAAGGGCCCACATGTGAGCCGGCTGATAGCATGGGCAACACAGAATAGACGTCTAAGTGTCATTTAAATATTCAAGAGGAAAGTCATTTGTTCAGAGGGTGACTTTATGCCTTTGCAAACAGGACATCTTGTCCCATTTTGTGTTTCAGGCTCAAGTTCTTTTAAAAAAACTTTAAATTTTCTTTTTGTACTTCCTTTAGCAATGAAAGGATATGAAGAGTATAAACATATGGAAATAAACACAGTAAGCTTCCTGGACACCTTCATTAAAAGAAAATACAAGTTCCAGTTTTACAAATACAGTAAGCTTCCTGGACACCTTCATTAAAAGAAAATACAAGTTCCAGTTTTGCTAGCCTGCTTTATAAATGTCTCTGAATCTTTTTATGTACTCCTAAGGCTTTTCAATATGATAAGAAAGCACTTTCATAGTAAACTTAGACTTGGGGCTGGGAAGGTGGCTCAGTGGTACAGTGCTTGCCTTGCATGCATGAGGCCCTGGGTTCGATTCCTTAGCACCACATAAGCAGAAAAAGCTGGAAGTGGCACTGTGGCTCAAGTGGTAGAGCGCTAGCCTTGAGCTGAAGAGCTCAGGGACAGCGTCCAGCCCCATGACCGATGGAAAAAAAAAAACATAGTAAACTTAGACTAAAACTAGTATATGATCATATACAAATAGGTACTAATTTAGCCTGATTTTTTTACAATTGGGTGTGAAATGACTAGCATTTTCTTTAGCTATTTGTTTAGAAACTATACTGGCTTTGTCTATTTAAAAGCAACAGTGTCAACAGTTTCTCCTTCTGTTAAGTTTCCTTATTAAACTACTGGTAGGCTTGTGGCTTCTGACTCCAACAGCAATCACTAGCCAAGGCAGACTTGAAATGTGGGACTTAGGGTTTTCTGTTTGTACCATTTCTAAATAAGAGTCTTTTTATTCTCTTTTTCTGGAGCATCTACACCTCCCAAACCTGGACCTCAGTGGGGCAGGCCTGAACAAAAGCAGTCTGTTAACTCCCAGCTTCCAAATGTGAAGACTCAACCCACCAGAGAGTTGGAAATAGGGGAAAAATGTACCTGGCCATCTTGAGAGGCTCCTATAAGCCCCAAATCATTTTGTGGTTTCATCCTGGGAGAAGCTGAGGGACAGGACACAAATATGGAAGAGGAGCTTGCTGTTACGTTAGCTCGCCCCCCTCCACAGAGGGGTTTGGACTCTAACCAAAGGCCCCTTTATATGTATACATGTGGCATCCTTCATGCATAAAAATATCACATTATAAGAAAATCGTGTTGTATATGTTATTACATATTCCTCCTCTCATCCTTTCTTGCCTCCTTTCCTATAGTCTCCCCTTGTTTTTGGTCAGCCACGGGGCTGGTCTGGGAGCTATTGCTGAGCTTTTTTGCTCAAGGCTAGCACTCTACCACTTTGAGTCACAGCTTCATTTCCAGTTTTCTGGTGGTCAGTTGGAGATAAAGTCTCCACAGAATTGCCTGCCAGGCTGGCTTTGAACCATGATCTCAGCTTCTGAATATCTAGGATTACAGGCATGAGCCACCAGCATCTGACTAATCATTTTCTTTCTTGTTTTTTTTCCCCCTTCTCTCTGCCATAGTTTAACCTGTGTATGTCTCCTTTTAATTTTCTCTACATTTAGTCACATGCAAATACTGGATTGAAGCAATAGGAAATTAACAACTTTTTTTTCTTTTTTTTTGCCAGTCCTGGGGCTTGAACTCAGGGCCTGGGCTCTGTCCCTGAGCCCAGATAGTGCTCTACCACTTGAGCCACAACCTCACTTCTTGCTTTTCCTGTTTTGTGGTACTGAGGAATTGAACCCAGGGCTTCATGCATGCTAGGGATGTTAAACATTAGAGGGTCAGTCTAATTAAAGCACAGTATATGCATGTGTGTAATACAGTGAAAACCTATTGAGCAACTAGCATAATGTTAAAATAGCAAATGACAGAAATGTAAGACAAGTCTAATCTGGGGGTGAGTACTAGTGGGCTGAACAGAGGGTGAAGGATGATAAATATGGTCAAACTCAAGTGTGAAGATGGAACAATGAAGCTTGTTAGAATTGGTTTGGAAAGAGAAGAGGAAGGATGAGGGAGAGCGATGGAGGGGTGAATCTGATCAAGGTACATTGTATGCAAATACACATGTCAAAATGAAACACCCTCGTACAACTAATTGATGCCATTTTTCCCTCAGTCCTGGGGCTTGAACTCAGGGCCTGAGTTTCTTTTGCTCAAGGCTAGCACATTACCGCTTGAACCATAGTGCCACTTCCGGCTTTTTCTGTCTACGTGGTACTGAGGAATGGAACTCATGCACGCTAGGCAAGCATTCTACCACTAAGTCACATTCCCAGCCCCTGATTGATGCTAATTTTTAAAAATGTGCTTATGATGGGGCACGGGTGGCCTACGCCTGTAATCCTAGATACTCAAGAGGTCTGAGATCTGAGGACCACAGTTCAAAGCCAGCCCAGGCAAGAAAGTTTATAAGATTCTTATCTCCAATTAACTACCAAGAAACAACAACAAAAAAGCCAGAAAGAGCTGTGGCTCAACTGGTAGAGCACTAACCTTTAACACAAAAGCTCAGGGACAGTGTCCAGGCTCTGAATTCAAGCTGGCTGGAGTTGCCAGCTCTTTTCCTGCTTCATTGTAAGTTCCTTGGTTTCTCACCCATCCCAAAGTCAGGGCTGCTGTGCCAGCTGTGTTTAAAGAAACATTATGTCTGCATCATCAAAGCATGGTGGGCATTTCTCAGTACTAGGCTGAGGCTGCCCGGGACTGATGTTCACTGCACATCAGCTTTCTGGCTACAGGGCCTGAGTTCCCAGAATTCTTGGAAGATTTGGTCCACACTATCCCCTGCTTTATAGGAAATGACGAGAATTCACTCAAATGATAGAAATAATTCTGAAATAATCTGAAATTAGATGATAATAGCATTTAATCCTCAATGTAAATTTGAACTGTTACCAAGTTAAACAAAAATCACTGCACAATGCTTTTAAAATCCAGAGAACTTCCTGAGCCATCATCTGATTTTCTGAGCATGGGGACTTTTGAAGCACAAGGACATTCTAAAGTGTCCCCAGGTCCCTCAAGGTATAGAGCATAGAAAGAACAGCAAGAATCCAAGAAAGAAATGTTTATCTTTTTGTTTTTGTTTTTTTTTAAGAAATGAGGAAATGGCCAGGCGTCAGTGGCTCACGCCTGTAATCCTAGCTACTCAGGAGGCTGAGATCTGAGGATTGTGGTTCAAAGCCAGCCTGGGCAGGAAAGTTGGTGAGACTTAT